TTTAGTTTCTATTACATTTAAAATCATCTTATTTAACGATGCCCATAACCCTATTTATGAACGCATTATGAACACAAGGTTGTCAACGCATCTGCAAACCCTCGGGTGTTGCAAACGTCCATGGGCGGCGAGTATTACTTAACTTAGAGTAAACCGCCGGCTCGTTTGCTACTTTTTCACACAAAAAAAAAACCTGTAAGACAAGCCACGTCAGCTATGATTGGGGGTTGTATTAGGAAACTGTTAATTGAATCGAGCATACAGACCACTCCTGGTAGTCCTCATTAAACTTATTAGAGCATTACCCTATTAATGAAATTCTTACTAAGTCTAACTGGCAACAAAAAGCTAATACGGAATAAATGCAATTTTCATAAATCACATTGTTGCATCTTACTGGTCTTGCACTTTACAAGCCATCAGGAGATAACAAACAAATCTCATAATGGACTTCGGACGTCACACGGAACACGTAATATACAAAATTTACCGTTAAATAAAATTTCTATTATGTTTTGCAAAGACGTCCGAAGTTCCAGTAGTATTCCTGGTGGTACATTTACATTATGAGCCTAACAATGACGAAATTATAGCGGCACGTGGAGCATTCGCGGCATAGTGGTAGTCGGGCTTAGCCACAAGGAGGCGCGGGCGCAGCGGATCTTGTATCTTGTATCTTGTATTAACTGATGTTTTTGCTTTCAGTCCCGAGACTATTAAAGCTTCATCGGACGCAGAACCGGTGGGCTAGCCAGAACCCACGGGTTTGGACCCTCCGCTATGGGTAGGGTCGCGCATGTGCTCATGCGTGCGTTTAACTACTATGGTGTGTCATCTAAGGGCAGTCGAGGTCGCCGGTTCGGACCGAGACCCCGACGGCCGTCGACTGTGCATTTAGCTAATCGGTGGCTGGGAGCGGTGAGAACCGCCCCGGAACGCGGGTGTACCTTGTGTACGCGTTGTGTGGGTCTCGCCGTGCTCGGAGGCGAGGGCGAACTGGTGTGATTGTTGTTACACTAACTGTGGGTGTAGTGTTATCCGGCGGGACCCCGGGCGGTGGGTCCATCGTATCTAAGTCCTCTTCGTCGACCGGGTCGATGAGGACGTTTCGCGGGCGACGCTTGTTTACGTTCGCGTTTGTGTCCGGTTGGTAGTTTGCTGCGCTTACCACCAGAGGGTTGGGATGATGCTGGGCTCTATCGAAGAACCGTTTTGTCAAATCTTTAAAATGAGCGCGAATCGTCGGGAGTCTGCAATCGCTGTGCAGGTCGACGTTGCGCTGATACCATTGCGCACCGGTTGCGTGCAATTTGTTAATGCGCGTAGGATTTGTATGTGCGAAGATCATGCAAGCGTAGGACATGATTGGCCTTACGCAAGCTTTATATAACAGTAGTTTGTGCCTTAAGGGCATTTTACTATGCTTATTCGTTAAATTGTGTAGCCGGCCGGAGACGAACGCGGCTTTATTTAGGACTTGATTGATGTGCGTAGTGAAAGTCATACGCGAGTCGAAAGTGACTCCTAGATATTTGACCGTTTTCTCCCAGGGGAGAGTTTGGCCATATAGTGATATTTGCCCCAACTTTCTGTACTGGCGAGGACTTTTGTAACGGTGTGGCGGATGGGGGTTGGGGGTGCTACGAGTGAAGTGAATCGCCACACTTTTTTCTGGATTAATATCGATTCTCCATTTGCGGAACCAATCGCCGAGGCGGTCGACAGCGCTTTGGAGTCGAGTCGTTAATTGACTGAGGTTGCGATCTGAGTAAAAGAGCGCCGTGTCATCCGCGAAAAGCGCGAGATTGACGTGGGGGTCTCTAGGTATGTCGCTCGTGTAGAGCGTAAATAACAAGGGTGAGAGGCAGGAGCCTTGTGGTACGCCGGCCGTGAGGCGGCGGCTTGTGGAGAGGGTGCCCTCGACTCGATATCGAAAAGAGCGGTTCAACAAAAAGGCCCGGATGGTGTGTACGAGCCTATCTGGCACTTTGAGTGTGTACAGCTTGTAAAGCAAGCCGTTGTGCCAGACTTTGTCGAATGCTTTTGCGACATCGAAGAAGAGAGCCCCTGTGCTGATGTGTTTGGGGTGGTTAAGGCCTTTTAGGATGTGCTCCGTTAGGCGGTATAACTGATCGGGACTGGGCGCAGCGGAACTACGCGCGGCGAGCTAAGAAGCTACGCTTGCCAATATTTATCTGCTCGATAAAGTTCGTAATGCAGATATCCGCAGTAAAACCAGGGCAAACGACATAGCTCAAAATGTTGATAATCTGAAGCGGCTATGGACTGGCTTGGAGAACCGAAAATCCATGGAGGAAATTCTCGAGTGGCGGCTTCCTTTGCAGTGTGGGACGACCCCCCAACAATAAAGTAAATATTGTTAAGAGATATTTATCAGTTACTCAGTGATGTTTGACGAAAAAAACATTTTTCAAATCAAATCCTTTAATTTCAGTTTCACTTAACAAGCATATTCAATACTATAATAAAGGAATATAATGATATATTAAATATAATACAATGATGAAAATTATATAAAAATATAATACTAACAACAACTGCTGTAAGACAGCATCTTTTGCGAGAATTAAACAGCGTGTCGTTACCAACGCCATAATAAATGAACACACATATAGAGGATATTTTTTTAAAATTGTATCAAAAATCTACATTCTTTAAACATCAATATTTACAGAGTTATTAAATTTTCCAAAACAAAGAATTTTAGAACACCCTTACCTATAAAACTGTAACGCAAAGTTCATTTGTAAAAGTCACAAAGCGTATGAATGGGTTGAATGAATTTAAAAGAGACAAAACATACTGTTAGAAGGAGAGGCTTGTAATGCGACGCCGTGACAACGAATGAAAAAGTCTCTGAATGTACGAATCAGTCAGTTGTAGTTGTAAAGGATGTTACAAATTTTGTTTAATTTTTATTTAATTAGTTTGTTTGAAAAATATATTTTTTTTTAATTATGGATATTTTTTATAGTTAATATTTTTTTATGATTATTGGCAAGTAGCGTTAGACGTGTGTTCATTTATTGTCGCGATGGTAACGACACGCTGTATAAGATAGAATTAAATAGTTATGTTTGCGCAACAAACATATAATTATTGTAATTTACGTGTCTTTTTATGAGATCGTCCATTGACAGGCGAACTTTACTCGTATATATTTTAAAATTGTATTCTACATGCACGTTGGTTTTGTGACAACAAACGACTTTTCAAAATAGCTTAAATATTGGTATCGGAACAGCGAATTCAAGTCTGGTCGGTGGAAAATGTTTTCACATACTATGGAAAATATTTCCTCGCAAGGGGTAAGTAGGTATGTGATGAGACAATTGAACATTTCATATTCGAATACCAAAAATCTCGAATCTTACTGAAGTACAAACTAATTTATTGAATAATTTGTTCCCTTTTGTACTTAATATTTTTTAAATAATCCATTAAAACTTATCCCATAACTTATTGTAAACATAAAGCATTATAATAATTAGGAAAAACTTCAACTATGGCATAATAAAAAGCATATAAAAATAGCAATTGTGATTAAGTGCGACTGATAATTAATTTCAATTGGAAATATGAGTAAAATATCACAAAATACAAGGCTTATTTCTAATATGATGCCTGTTTAATACTGGTTTTGTGCTGCAAAATCTCACCGAATAAAATCTTAGGCAATGATATAACATGAATTTATAGACAACAATTTATAGTCATAAAACATAAAACAACCGATCCACGGTTTTGTATGAATTGGATTTAAAAAAAATTGTGGTGAATAATAATACTGATGTAAGAAAGTATATTTCTTGTGATTCACTAAATAGAGACTTTCCATTAGACGCAAAAAGTTTTTAAACACAAGGAAAAATTTCAACCTCAAATTTTAGATTTTAGGAGTATGAATTTGCAAACATATACTGTCTTATTCGTTTTTTACACGTAGTTTTTGAGATATGTTATTTGATTATTAGTACGTGGTACCAGTTTTTTTGGTTTTCGTAAAAAAAATAAGTTTAATAATTCTGAAAGACAATGTAAGGTCACTTCCATAATGAATAAATTAGATGTTCTTAATTACTAAACCAAAAAGAAAGGTAATTATAAAAACAGAAACTTATATCATGTGCTAACACGCAAAATAATTGACAGTTTTTTTTTTAAAACATTAATTCTAAGAATGCATTGTAGACTTATAACAGATAATGATTAAGTATACTGTAAGTATACTGTAGGTATTTTGCATTGAAGGAGAGTACCGTCTTGTAATATAATCTACAAAGATTTATATAGCATAAGTTAAAGTATTAGAATTAAAGTAATTAAGTTAAGTAAGTAATTAAGATAAATTATTAGAAGTTAAGACTTTTCTGCATGTGGTACCATGGTCTATATGCAAAGTAGAAGAACCCGTGTCATCAACTCACGGAAATATTACAAAACTTATTTAGAGAATTACTACTTAATAAGTGATATGTAAGTTATTAAGTACATAATATAGTCTACAGTGTATATTATTATACTAATGTGTCTAAAGCGATCACTTATGGTATCGAACATTTGAAATGAATCGGTGTCACACTTAATACAGTGGATACAGTGGGCAGGACAATGTCCGGTTAATAATAATATGACACTGTAAGTGTAGGTAGTCAAATTTGTTCTATTTGCTCGTGGGTCTATATAGTTAAATATTTCATTTATTGACTAAATATAAACTTACATAAATATATTAAAATTCAATATATCAATACTTGAAATAGTAGCGTACGATGTTACAGTTGTTGTGTTCTCGGTAGAGACTATTTGTCGCTTCGTAAAACGGTCAACTACAAAAACTTTTAGTTAGCAATAGGTCTTTTTTTCTTCGAGGTATGGTATACAGTTGATAAGTTACGTTCAAATAGATCTTTTTGAACGTAACTTATAAACTATATAATTGGACGTGTCTTAGCTCGCTCGTGTTAGTTGTATCATCAGGTGCAGTGTGAGGCGCGCTGCTGTCTCCACGCTGAGTGGAAACCGGCTGCCGAGTCCGAATCGGAGTCACCCTCCTCGCTGACACTGATCTGTGCTCGTGGCTGCGGGTGAGATGATTATGTATATGTATACATGTATAATTATGATTATGTATATGTATATATTACTATGTATTAAAGGCTGTACACAGACGTCGAGATTTCCGCGCCTTGAGGTCATGGCCGCTAAGCTTAATTGGTAAAGCGTCTGTGCGCGTTACCAGGCGCACAGACGCAGTTTTTTTTTTATTTATATACACATAAGTGTCTGACATATTATTTTAAATTTATAGAATAAAGTTTAATTTTGTGGATTCTGCTCGTGCTGTTTTTTAGAAATTATTCTATATTCGTCACTTCGAAAAATTATTTACATCGGGGTAAGTCAACGTTAACCTCTTTTTTTTACAAACAACTTCGTTACTAATAACCATTCATTGATTATACGAACAATCAAAAATATACCTAACTAGCTGCGCCCGCGAAAATTACTACTTACTTAACGCGCTCTACATTTGCGAATAGCAATCGGTTATTTGAGCATAGATTTTTTTTTTGATTAAATTTTGCTTTCAATCGGCTTCTTTCATAATCCAGTGATGTGCTTCAGCGGGCGCATTTAGGCTTTGTCATATGCAATGTATTCATATAGTCTCTACTCAACTAAGCAACAATCGGTTAATTTTGTAGAGCGTTATCTCTATCACACACTACGTATCGCTACTTCGTACGACAGAGATAACGCTCTACGGAGCAGAGATTCGCCAATTGTCTCTCTCTATCTTAGCCGTTGGGCAATGTCTATCGCCGAGTGCTGCACTCGACATATCAGTAATAGTCTCGGGACTGAAAGCAAAAACATCAGTTAATACAAGATACAAGATACAAGATACAAGACATATCGGACCTGGTCGGGCGTCGAAGGGGTGCTCCTGCTGTGTGCACCGACGCCCCGTCTACCGCTGGCGCCGCGCCTCCGCACTTTGCTGCTCATCGGCGGCGGCATCAGCTTGTCGTCCTTCTGCGAAACGAGCGGCGACGGGTGACAAGCCTGTCGGGTGCCACTGTTACCATGCTACTGCATCGATTTGGGCCAGTGACATTTATTAAGTTGAAGTGCCTGCCAGTCGGTCATTGTTAAATATATTGAAGAAAGAATTTCGCCTTGCAACTAGTTACGCTAAATACATCACCAAAAAGATATATAAACATCTTTTCATATTGTTTATATATATCACTATTTTATACGAATACCTTATATTATTTTTTTATATATCTCATTAGTACGAAGTATTTTGGAATATGCTTCCAAATACACTCTTCTAGCACTACATCTGCAACACTACGGGTGTTGGAAATGTCCATGGGCAGGCGGTTATCACCTAACATCAGGTGAACCACCAGCTCGTTGGCCACTTTCTCACATTCAAAAAACATAAATCCTGACACTGCGACAATGTTTTTTTTTTAATTTTACTTTATATGCCCCTTTAAAGTAATTCATCCCCCGCTTTCTAGAGGAGTAGGCAGATATTACGGTTTTATAATCACCGATTATTTATTAGAAAATTAAGCAGCCGCTAAAAGGATTCATTTTAAGTATGCAAATGTTTTATTTCGTATATACAAAAACAAATGTTTTATAAGAATTTAGTTCATAAATGTTTATAGCTTAGCGTTAGATCTGTTTTACACACTTTCGGTAGAAATGTAAATAATTTAAAGATAATATCAGTTCTCCGAGTGTAAAATCAATAATAAAAATGACGCTATAATGCGAGTAAGCTAGGAAGCAAAACTAAAAAAATAACAATTAATCTCTGAATCTAAACAAAATGGGTTCCTCTAGCTTATGTCATCATGTACGCTTCTCCTTCACACTTCATTTGAAAGCGATGAAACTTTAGGTGAGTCTTTCTAAAGCGTGATACAGAATAAAATAACAAAAAATAGTACTACGGCGCATTAAGGACATTCCCCGCCTTGTTATACGTCTTCAACCCTGTCCAATTATCTCTAGCAGTCTATGGTCATTTATGATACAGGTCAACGGTGGTAGGGCCACGCAGCAGCCTCGGCTGTTGCACGAATGGGCAGGCCCGTCAGGGTAAGTACCACGACCTCGCAGAAGACCGGCGTAAAGTGGAAGTATAATACTTTCGCGTTTCGTCTGGCGAGGTGGCCGGAGGCCAATTTTCAAAAGGTTGTCAACGCATCTGGAGCCCTCGGATGTAGCAGGTGTCTATGGGCGGCGGTATTGACTTAACATCAGGTTAACCGTCTTCTCGCTTGGCAACTTTTCACATAAAAAACGTAGGTCAGTACAGTACCGGTATGTTGTCGGCTGAGCCCCAGGACTTGAGCTGTTCCCCTTCATCGGAGCGCCGGTCCAGCTCCCTCTCCCTGGCGGACTTGGGCACGTAGGCCGAGGACCTGGTGGCGCCCACGCCCAGGAAGTTGCTGAACGCCTCCGTGGTCTTCTTCACGCGCACGTTCAGCGAACCGATGCGGAGGAAGCCCTCCTTCTCTGGAGAATTAATCGAGTGTTCCGACGAGAGTGGGAACGACCGTTTTACATACATACATATTAGATAGATATGTAATATGTATGTATGTTTGTACAAGTACAAGATAAGAGGGCCGTATAGTTTAGGGATGCCCACTTTTATCTTTCATCATATTTCGTCCTATATTTTCACCGGTGTTATTGGTTAGAGCAAAGTACATTTGAACAATTTAATCCTTGTTCATCACGAAATAAATGCTAAATGCTCGGTTTTTTGTATATTGGAAAAGAAAACAGAAATATTCTCATAATACACTTTTATTTAACTGAGGGTTTTGCATCTACTCCCTAAACTTTGAAACAAACTAAACTCCATATGATCCGTTGATCGCATCGTCTGTCGCGCTGAGAATCGCTTTGGTGAGCGGTGTACCTCGTTACAGTTTTGCCGTATTCGTAAGCGAGGATCGAAATGGAATCGGAACTTTACATGTGATGGCACTAATTGTTTTGTTTACATGATGCCTTTCCTTCCCTAAAATTTAAACAGCTTGAGGGGCACACATTAATAAATCTTATTTATATATATCTGCGCCGTCAAGCCGCGGACTAATTAGACCAGCGGACCCGCATAAGATATATTAAGGCATATTCGAACAACAAGAAACTTCATCAAATGTCCAACGGATAAATAAAATGCCTTAGCTAAGATGTCGATGATAGGAGACGTCGAATTTACGTTAAACAATTCGAAAATCTAACAAAGACCCATCGCATGCCAACATACAAGTTTAATTAATATTAACAACATCGCTAATATATGGCGGTAACACAAGCACGCACTTTGGTTTTCAGGACAATATGTGACTATGACAGAATTATATAATCACAATTTTCAATACTAGAGATTCAATACACTTTGCCAATGGCGGATATAAATATCATCGGAACAAACTGTCGTTAGCAGCATTGTCAAAATTGTCGACGAGAGATGAAAACGTAGTTTACTAATTAAACTAAAATTTACTTAGGGCAGTCCAAATTTGAATAAGGCTTTAAAAATGGTTCCTCATTCATTCGCAAATAACTATTCCAGCCTTTCGGAGCAAATTTAATTAATTTAACTAGTTTATATGCGAATATTCATCTCTTTTCACAAGCCAGTTTTTCAGACAATATATATATATATATTGTCTGAATTCCTTTGTTGTCTTTCTTACACTACCACATTTTAGATATTAATAAAAATATATATACAGTGATTTGTCAATTTAAATACCATAACAAAATTTATTATATTTATTTTTTCCTTTCGTTTTCTTTCTGTTTTCATTCCATTACAAATTTTAATAGGAATGTACTTAACATGGAAATTATATCGTAGAACTTAAAGCAAAATAAAAATCAGAATTATATTGTTTTGAAATAATGAAACAATCTGATTCACTGTTCTTGTCGTGGAATTATTAGATGTTTTAAGGAAAGATAAACTCAAAAGATATATTTTTTTCTACTTCAATTGATGAAACGGTTTTTACACAACATTACAACGCGACAATGTCGGACAGAAGTGTGCAGAAATACACAAATATTTTAAAAAAAAAGCAAGGTAATCTATTATTTTGACGATAAGCACCTTAACACACATTCATAAAACACTACGGGCACCATTTCTACTTAAACAATGTAAAACAAAAGAAAAATTAAAAAATAAAGAGCAGGAAAAAGCCAACACCGATCCCAAAGTGCCATTTAAAATAAAACCAAAACCGAAAAGACCGCTACTATTACATATTATAATATGTAACCGTACATAATACAATATTTGTAATAATATGTTATTGATAGAGATGTAGTGCATCACTAGCGAGTTTCTTGCGCCTTTAATTACGACAGTGTGAAAAGACTTCAGCTTTACACAAATAATATATTTTCTGAAAATCATGATTACAGATTGAACCAGGTATTCCCTGTTAAAAACGTAAACAATAAGTTTGTTTTGTATTCTGTATTTATAAGATTGAAAGTCTCCTACTACAAAATAATATTGTTCTATCTATAGTTCTATTTTAGAAGTCAGTTATTTTTGGCGATACATAAACCAATTTTCTTGTGTCTGTTATCTCATCGATAACATACACCAACTAGAACTATAAACTAACTGATATATACTATAAAACAAACATGTGTCAATTATTTCATAATAAACATGTGACAGAACATATGAACCCGACTAGGTAATACGAAGGCAGCTCTATGTAATATAACCACTTTCAATAAGCACTTTTAGTGACCAGTTTAAAAACACTATTCCGATAGTTATTGCTATTAAACTTTTTCGATTTGCTCAAATCTTAATTCGTTCAGGCCACCAACATTTAAAAAGAAAAATTTAAATTACATAACAAACTGGCAGCGTTCCTTTTATTAAGCTGCCATTTCGGCAAGAAACTCGCCAGTGCCGACATCACTACGGTAAACACACACACCCGTACCGTCCCGACACACAGGGCCTTACTTGACGTGGGTAATGTGTGCGAGTTGACCCTTATAGCCGGAGGCGAAGTCACTGTTCGCCTTAAATTGTAAGAATCCGGTTCTGTAACACGTCCCTTGGATGAAGGTCAAACATGGCACGGGACCGAATACAAAGTTAAATAACAAACCGTCAATGTCATTAAAAGAAACTTGAAGGCGTTCAAACATCGATAAAGTTTTAAATATCAAATTGAATGTCATTTACAAATGTCACCCGCTTTATGTACAGAGATCGGCGTTTTTTAAAAATATTTTAGGAAGTATATTATGCTTTTATTACTTTACGACTTATTCAGGACATTGCAATGGAAACTATTGATTTTGTGAGTTTCATTAATGTTATTGTTTTGTAAAACAAATGACGATGAAATAATTATTACATTCAGACTTACTTCTGTACGATCCGGGGGACAAAGAGGTGTCCATGTGTACCAAGTACTGCCTCGGTTTCCTACCGGACCAGTCGCGCACATTGGGGTCGGCATCTGGAAATGCGATGTAAACATTTGAAAATATTATTATTACTATTAGAAATATCTAGGCATATTGCGCTTGGCGTCAATTCTAGTTCCTTGCTCTCACGCCCGGTTTCTGAAACACTGGTCATCGTAGATGTCAACTAATCAGCTGTCAAATGGCTTTTCAAATTTCATTTTAGTTGCCAAAGGATGGTTAAAATCTCTGAATTGTTCAGAATGATCTTCTTAATGATCAGAATGATCAATTCAAATATAATTACCGACCGTAAAAACTAATCTTGGCCTCAATTCACCTTTTGTAAGAATGTGCAAAGAACTTAATATACTTTTTAACCGTGCTGAATATATCGACATTTTTAACGATTCCCCTTACGTTTACAAAAAGAAAGTACTGGAGTCATTTCATTATATTATAGTATAGTATTCTTCAAAGTGAATTTATTTTTTAATTTATTTTTGATTCTTTATTGTTAGTCTATTCTTTGTATTTAATTTTTTATGAATTAGTTTTTTTGGTTTACTAAACTTTGTCACAATATTGTAAATGTTGTACACACCTGTTATAGGTGTACATATTAGGACCAATGTTTTTTTTTTTTTAATTTTTCCTTCTTTGTAAGTTGTGTAAATATGTATACTGTTCGTGTGTCTTAAATAAAATAAAAAAAATAATTACTACAATAGTCCACCAATCGATCCCGCTTCGTATTGGCAAATTTCACACATATTCGATTTTATTTTTGTTATTATTTCGAAAATTTACAGCTTTCAATATCCGATTCTCACTTGAATCTTAAAACAGATTTATGTGTAGAAATACATGCATTTGCATTATCATTTTACATTACAGATATTATTATAATTTATTTTTAAACTCCTAAAAATATTTTCTTAAGTTATAAGTAAGGACTGCTATTAATATGTAAATATAGAGATAGGAAAAAAACTGGAGCGCCATCTAGTACGGGAGGCAGAAACGACAAGAGACCGACGCACGTTTGTTGCTCTTGAACGTTTTGAGAGTCGCTCATAGCCGCTAGATGGCGGACATAAAGTATTTTCATAATAATCGACAAAAACGCCTGTTAAGAAATATTTTCACTGACGATGCGGCAAAACACTAATAGACCTCAGTTGCATGCGTGCGTAGATATATGAATCGGGAAGAAGCGAAATGAGAGTATTAAGATTGTATAAAGGTAAAATCCAAATTATGCAGTGTAGTTACCCTGGTGTATTACGCTTATTAAGAAAGGGTAACACCTGGTTGGTTATTTATAGATAGAAGTACCTGGAGGACCAGGAGGTTTTGTTTTTTTTGGTAAATCGTGTATTTTGGAAATTACATTTAGATACAAATTACTAAGTAATGAAATATGCATAATATGTTTCGATCTTACCGACGTAATAATAAGAAAATATGAACTGGTGTTTTTCACAAAAGAAAGAACTTTAAAAAAAAAGGGAAAAAAATAACAAAATAACAAATCGACAAAAAATAAAAGATAAAGAAAGCATGATCTGGAATCGAAAAAAAAGTGTGTAAATGATCGTGATACGACCCACGGCCTTCTGTTTCGTAGATGTTTGTTAGCGGCCGCCCGATTACCGACCGAGCTATTATATTATAACATTTTTTTTCGGTGAAATTTACCGTCGTATTCGAATAATATTTTTAATTCCCTGAAAACTGGGATAAAACGATATTTTCTAAAAATTAAACCTAGTCAGATCGATTTTTCGCCCCCGAATCTACGCACATACAAAATTTCATGAATATCGCTGGAGCCGTTTCCGAGATTCCAATTATATATATATGTATATATATATATATATATATATATATATATATATATATATATATATTTATATACAAGAATTGCTCGTTTAAAGGATAAGAGATATTTTATGATCGATTTCTTTAGTAATATACTAACGAGCATTAATAATGAAATCGATCATAAAATATTTTGCGAGAATACTGAGTTAAAATATTTACATGATGCACACTGAGGAAACGTTTGTGACATAAAAATGTTTGATACAATAGGCATAGTTTCTGTCAAAGCTCCTCTATTTCGGGAGGTTTGCTTAATTTAATTTAATTTTATATATTATTTAATTCTGATTGGTTTTCGTTCGACATTACAACATGTAATTTAAGGTAACTTTTCATGCTTGAATATAAAGGGGCCGTGTTAGGTCACTGGCCCATACTGGGCTTCCGGTGTCTACGGATGCCCGCTTACATTAAACTCGAATGATGGGATTCAAATCCCGGTACCAGCAGTAATGAAATTCTTAATTTAAATTTGCTGATTTACCAGTGTTTGCGGGCGAGATAAAACCGCACGAAGGTATCTAAATTTCTACAAAACAATTAGGTTATGGCAAGTTTGGTACTATTGGCCACTGCGAACGGGAGTTCGATTCCCGCACGGAACAAGTATTTGGATAACCTACAGATAATAGTTGGGACTGGTAGTTTACGTTTGTGAAACTTATACGTAAATGCACCAATAAAACAGGAGAATTTCTAGTACGCGGCAACGTTAAAAACGAAATTACCTAAAGAAAGTATGTAAACCGTTAAACTGCGTGGGGAACTGTCTTATGCCCGGTTCCTATATTCAACAAACGGCCGTTAGTTACATAGCTTCGTAACTTTCATAAAGACTTGTAATATATAATCTAATTCTCTTAGTACAGAGGATGCATTTTTCTCAGTAGTAGGGCATACATGGTACATAATGGTTTCATTACTTTCTGTTATTTTATTGATACTTACCGTAGACGTCAATAAGTAGTTTGTAAACATTCTCGTTGCGAAACTGCATTGCGATATGAAGCGGTGTGTAGCCCTGAAATAATAATATTGTTCATCATACATTTATTTTTGAAAATCATTACGAGACATAAATACATACCTACCCTACTATGGGACTAGAGTCAATTTACTGAACTTTAAATTTATATTTAATATTAAATTGGTTGATGATTTTACGAAAGATTAAAAGAAATATAAAAATGATTACAAGAAACATACGTATGATTAGAATATACGAATGATTTTAAGAAAGTTAAAATTTTCTTGAACGAGGAACTTGAATGAATGATAAAAATTAACATTGAAATTATAAGACATAAAATAATCACTTCAAAAGTTATTTTAACTTTCTTTTAAATCTAAACCTAGAATGTACGTTTACCTTTATAAATTTACTGTAAGCGTTGATGAGATATTTACTCCAAATCTTTACTAATATTATAAGGGCGAAAATTTGTATGTATGGATGGATGGATGTTTGTTACTCTTTCACACAAATACTACTGAATGGATTCTAATAAAACTTTACAATAATATAGCTTATACATCAGAATAAGACAGAGGTTATAATTTAAATACATATTTTATGTATATCTATGTTTCTGTCTGAATGTATGCCTTCAGCCTATTCTACGCAGACGTAGTCGCGGGCAGCGGCTAGTTTAATATAAAACATTCAATAAATTCCCTAATGACAAATACACAAAGGTTTTCGCGGACGAAATCAACGCCGTTAGCTATTCAACCACGACCATATTCCGAGACTATGTGTGACCGTATTGATTGGTGCGAAATGGTAACGATGGACAAAAATAAGAGAGGTGCAAGTGGGCCGGTGCGACAGCGTTCGACGCTAGCGTTCGCCGCTAGTTCCCAATAAATCCGCGGACGAAAAAGAGAACAGCACGTAAGTACGAGCCGAGGTATTGCGTCCCGCATGTTGGCGGACCGCGATACTATCGCATGTGCATAAAATATTTTAGGTGCCCGGCCGTAAGGCCGCCCGGCCTGCGCCGGACTGGGTAATAAGGCGCCGTTCACACGTGACGCCGTCGAAACTTGCGCCTATGACTTCATGGGTTGAACCCACTTGGGTTAAGTAATTATTGAAGTTACATTTCTTTTGGGGCGTTTGGAAAAAGTGTAGCATATATGTAAGTAGTGACACGAAAAATTTATAGCGTAATGCACCAAAACTTAATCGACTTTAACGAAATAGTTATGTGCATATCTGTACATATATTTTCATTGTCACAGTATAGTTCTGTACATTTACTTGTGAAGGCAGAAGGAATGGGAAACGTAAACTGCTAAACTAATAGGTAATATTCGATAAGCACATTCTGTTTCGTTAACTAGTAATGTGTACCTTTTCCTAATTTTCTAACAGAAAAGTGACAACTTTTAAAAATTATTATTATTCCAATTTACACTTTGCAGTACGCGCGTTATTGCATCGATGAAGGCTTTATGTGCAAAGGGCCTTACCCGTTCCGAACTAGGATAGCAGAAATCGCATCTGCCACCTTCATAACGTTCGCGATCCCGTTTCAAATATTTATTTCGAATAATATCACCGGGTAGATATTGAACTCGGCGGGAGATCCCCGCCTAATATTTTTCTGCGACAGATGTACCGAGCGATGGTACAATTGGGTAGACTACTTGTTAATAATTGAGTCATTCTGTTTATGGCGTCCTCGACGGCGAGATTTGTCGGGAGCATTGAGATTTTAGGAGAACAGTAAAGCTTCAGCGGCGGTTAATTTTACCGCCTCTCTTCACCAGAATCCACAAGTAGCGGGCGCCATAAAAACGAACTTACCCCATTCTGCATCCGCCGATGTCGCCGCCGAACGCCACATGAAAAAGAGTGCAATGAAACGTTTAACGGTCGCGTAAAACGGGCAAAATGGCCCCGGGCAACTAAACTTGATTGGACGTTAAACTTCTAGATAGAGCGCGCGGGAAGTGCCCGATTACGAGCCTCTAAATGTAAACACCTAATTAGTGGCTACCACTTTTGAGAATCGATTAAAATTTACTCCGATTCCATTGGAATCGCCGTGATCATTACGATTTCGTTTAACGCCATTTGTTAGGACGTAGTAGGCGCATTTGTAATAATTAAAACATATAGTCCAGAGGGAGATAGATAATATCATTAGATTTTTACAATAAGCCATGTTTGTAGTAAGTACCAAAGGAGTGAGTATAGAAAGTTTGAAAAAGGGTCGAAAAGATTTTCATTCCAAAATATGCCAAAATGCAATGTAGATAAAAGATGTTGCGATTTTTGTCAGTGCGGCAATCAGCCTTTTAGTTTAGTGGTTAAAAAAAAGGTCTGGGCGCGAATCCGTAAGACGCGGGTTCAATTGCTGCAGCTGCGAAAAACTCTTCGTTCTTTTTCTACAAATTTTTATGTTTCATATTAAATGTCGATACACTAAAAAATTACTATAAAAGTATAACACTATAAAAATTACATTTCCGTAAAAGGCTAATTGAGAACGCAGTACTACAACTATTGGTAGTATAAGTAATTTACTTCAACAAGTAATCGACCCACGGCTTATCAGTTATTTAATTTCTTTTGTCCATCCGAGAGTTGCCTGGAAGGGAATTGCTTTTAGAAAAAGCCCGCCCATCGTATACTTTAAATTTGGAAAAGATTTGTTTTTATTATCGCTTTCCTGGGAACCAATAAAATATACTCATTCGTTCATTCATTAAATAAGAGTAAAGTGTCTATTAAAGTCTAATTGAGTATGCAGGGCCGCTCTGTTTCACTCCACTCACTCGCCTTCCTGCTGTAATTGTGTGCTTCACTGAATTACGTACTCACCGAACGCTCGTTAACAACTTGTCTAGCGACACCGGCCAGCAGCTTCACTAAGTTCTCGTCGCCACGCTTGCAGGCCCAATGCATGGCCGTCTGCAATTCGACGAACAAAGGATAATATTATAAAAAATAAACATGTAAACATTCGTCTTCATCGAGTTAAGAGCTTGCTAATTAACGCTCAACAGATCAAACATAAACAGCACGTTGTCGATTCGAAGGCATTATTCGTTCGGGGCGATTTGTAATAAAAATCGACGATTAGGAGATAGGCACTAAAACATACATCGATAACCACTGCGAGAACGAAGGGAAACGCGAAAAGGATGGAAGCAAAATATTTTAAGATCAAAACCAAAACACGATTCTATCACGAAATGAGTTTAGTAGGTCGAGGAACAAATTGCTTGATTGCCAGCCTTTTATTTTTATATATGTAAAACACTTTGATGGACAATATAATGTCCAAATTATAGCTCTTTATAATCGGAACGTATTAGGATGATTTGCATCCAGATTAAAGATTATATTTTGGTGAAGGTGGGCGCTATTAGCATAGTTATAGGAATTAGCTTACCCATCATCGGCGGTCATTTTAATTTTTAAAACGCTACGGTAACTGACGCATAATTTTAAATAAGACCGGCGCAAAGAAAAAAAAAATTTACATGAATTTAATGGCACTCTAAATATATAACGTGAATTATACTCTTATATTAAGGATATTTCCAAAATTGCCTAATTTCTCAACGTTTTATTTTGGTAGGTAATATAGTATCTACCTCAGTTAATGGAATGAATAATCGTTGAGATTCGATTGTTTTCCTGCAACAGTTCTAAACTAGGCTACGAGACGGCTATCAATGCTAATCTTAACTCTTTTTTTTTTTCTTTTTAAGTATCATTCTAGCAGTGTCGATCCGATAGTAATATTCCATTTAATCAATTAATACCCACTAGTAGTTAGAACTAATTCTTATGCGAGACTTTACTTCTTAATAACGAAATATTAGGTCACAATTTAAACAGAGGAATGGCAAATCGCAATGGGTTATTACTAACGAGCAAATACAGGGGAAAAGAGCGAGCAAATCCCCAACGAGCCGTTTCATGATTCCGAAGCATGTACGCAATGCCCCGAAAACGAATTGGGTCCTTTCACCTGTTCTGCGGAGCGAACGTTTGATATTACTTTAGTCGAGGGTACGAGTTACCTACCAATCGGAGTTTGGACAAGGTGTAGGCGTGATCGTCGCTGATTCAGTGGGGTAGTTAACGGCGGGCGGTCCTAGGTTCGACGTCGCACGGAGAAATATTGGCGCTGAGGGAAGCGCTGTTAATTTCGAGAGAGCGCTGGCTGCTCGTACGATTTTCCACGTATCTGGTACCGTAACTAGTGCCACGTTGGAGACGCAAGCGGAACCGTTAAACGCTACACGCCCGATATTATGTAAAAATTGAACTTAGCAATTTGAAATAAGACGCATTTCATTGACCACTAGCCTTTTTAATTGTGGACGCACTTCGAGTATTGCTCTTACACGGAAATATAAAAAATTCTTGGCTAGATTTGTAGGACAGGTTATAAGAAATACCACCGCAAATAGGAACCGTTGTACTAAGTTTTTTTTTTATGAGAAAAGTTGCCAAACGAGCAGACGGTTCACCTGATGGTAAGTGAATTCCGCCGCCCATGGACATCTGCTACACCCGAGGGTTACAGATGCGTTGACAACCTTTTGAAAATTGGGCTCCGGCTACCTCACTCACCAGACGAAACGCGAAAGTATTTAAATGTATAACTTTGTCGTACTTCCACTTTACGCTAGTCTTCTTCTATGAGGTCGTGGTACTTACCCGGATGGGCCTGCCCATTCGTGCAACAGCCGAGTCTGCTGCGTGGCCCTACCACCGTAAAGTCGACAATTATACAATTTATAATTATTAAAGGTTATTTTTACGCAATTTTCTGTCGAGTTACATGGTCGGAATTTAAGACCAAATATGCTCCCGCTACGCTAGTTCCTGTGGCATGGTCCTAAGTTCACCGCGGTTGTCTGTGTTGGTAGAGGCATTTTCGGTTCATGTATCGATGGGGTAGCCTATCCTGTGTCCAATATCCTAGCTAAATTATAACCAGATAACTTGCAGCGTTCGAATTAATCTCGGAAACTCTAATCCACGAATTTCGGTACAACATTGGAACAGGAGTGGGCGCCGTCCAGCGTTGACAATTAATTTACATGAGTAAGGTTTGTGTTTTCCAATAAAGCCCTGATTTTGGATTTTACATATAGTTTTTTACAGATTGTCTTTTCTCATTTTCTTTGAACTCCCTAAGAGTAGTATATATTGTTTTTTCTGTAATTTATTGAGGCGAATTAATAGTTTTAGGAAGGGCATGCAAGTTGTATTTACATAAAAAACTAATAAGCCATGAAACAATCTCTCTCGCCAAGGAGTAAGTCCCGAATTCGGTTGGTTATAAGCCAGTCTCTATGCATTAAGACAGTGATTTCTGAGGTAAAGACACTTAAGAGAGGAGATTCTCTTTTACTCACGCCGCTTGCTTTTCATGAATCGTATGTACAACGACTTCTAAATTTGATCAGATTGCGAGTCAAATCCATGGAGTCGGAGAGCGAAATATTTTTCGTGCGGTTACTCGCATCGCACGCGATTCACGACCGTTTTCTGACTATGGTGTGAAGGGCTTAGTACTAAGTCGACAAGCGATGCAACGTAACAGCTCTTGTGTATGGGAGGCTTGGCAGCCTTACACAAGCCGTTTCATTAGAAGCATACTGCCCAGTTTGAACCGGCAGCCCTTCTGTTGATATGTCTGTCTTTGGGCAGTGATCACTTACTGGCTACATATTATTATATGTTTTCCTTCCCAGCTGTGAAATACATTCACAGCTGCCAAATGATTAAATAAGACTTATAGTAGTACTCAGTGAACATATACTTACGTACTGCACCGTCGATTCGGCGGACGCACGTAGCACAGGATTCGGTCACATGCGGAGGGAGAATATTGATGCATTAGATATGAATTGATAGACGTGAAAAGGAGGCATAGACGCGTGTCGGCCTAAACGCTTCCAATCGTTCGTACTTGTGTCGGAGTGTTGCAGAAGCGATACGGATGTCGGAATAAAATGATCTATCAGCGACTGATCGGTTGCACTTTCGCCGAATTCGCAATACTCATTCTTTTTTTTACCGTATGCGAACCCAATGGAGCTATGCTATTGCTTGCTATGTTTTTCGAGATTGATGAGAGGGAATATTGATTTTTGGCGACAGTCAATAAAAGTGTGCGCTTTTACTGAATGTCAGCTTAAGAATCCTTTCCTAAAAGTTTTCAAAGTTGGAAGTCTGCGTGCATTAAAATGATTGCGTTTTGAAATTTAAAAATATATGCTACAGCCTAGTTCGTCTCTGAGTCAATCCTTGAATAGAAATAACAGAAATAGATATTTTACTAACGATAAGCTTAGAGTACCTTAAGTATTTTAAAATTTTACAAAGAGAACAAGAATAAATAACATCAAACATTAAGTACGAATTTTTTACAACCACAAGGCCAGTTACCATAAGGGGAACCGAGCGAACATTCCAAATTGTCAAAAACTCCTTGCGAAAACGTACGAAGCTCCGAAGTTTCCGTCCGCTGCTCCCTAATAGCGGAGCTGCTCAACAAACAAGCAGCCTGCTAGGCGTCGGGCGGGATCCTTTCCCGGCTGCTTTAAAACGTAGACCTAACCCCAACAGCGTTTCCGGGTCGGCCGGCAGCCGAATTCACTAATTTATCGTCGGCCGGGCCAATAAATTTAAAACGGGATTACGCGGGCCGCGCACAAAGCGACGCTTTATAATTTGCCCGATATAAATCTCCGCCGCTCGTCCTCTAACATTCGAGACTAATTTAAAACATGGGGCGACGCCTCCAAGTGGGTGTCGCCGAGTGGATCGTGGATGCGACGGAGCAGCACGTCGTCTGCCGGCGTTGCGTACCACGTGCTAATTCGCCAGCGACGCTAATCAATAGAGCGGCGGCCGTCCCATCGAGCGCCGTGCCGTGGCGTCATTAACACCAGTTTAGATACGAATTCACAAATATTCCCGGCGGCTTTACGAGCCAATAAAACTATTCCGACTTCCGTCCCGAGGGCCGACGTGTAAATTGTTATAGGTCATTTTATTTTACGCGCTTAAAAAGCAATGCTGTGTTCGCTGACCGGACGGGGATCCCGCTCTAAGTGTTCGAGTATTTTACCGGCCGGTGCTGAAACGGGACTAATAGTACTAATGTGTATGATTCGAGCTGACGCCCGCGTCGCACAGGTCTCGGGACCCGAGGCTAAAGAGAATTACACACTCATAAGCAAACACACCAATCTATATGCGTGGTCTAACGAAAACAGAAATCAAGGGACATCTATTATTCTTATTTAAATTCAGTTACGTTTTCCAATCGTACAAGAAGGCTAAGTTTAAACCCTCTCAGCTGATAAAAAAAGAACCAGGGAATAAGGGACCACATAAAGCAACGTTTTTGTCGACGGGCTTAAGTAATGAATTATATTGTTTTTTTGCATTTTCAAGTCACAAGTTTTTAGTGAGGACCTCCATTAAGGTCAACCATTAAAATAGTAATTTAGAATAATTTAAATGAAGATGTAATTCAATCAAAATCGTAATTTTTCTGCGGAGAGAGCTGTCCTACTTATGTACCATACGCTGCGTTTGGGTTTTTCATTTTAGGCAAAATGAAAATCCAAACGCAGCGTATTACCGTATGTAGCGGCTTACACGAACTTGTACTAGCATGTATAAACTTCATACAAGTAAAACTTCGCTAGCGAACATTAATGTACGTACATGCTATTTTAATATCCTTTAATATCCTTGCCATAAATACCAGGGTTCGTTTCGGAGTTCGCAGAATGATGGAGTTTGGCTCATGCTGAGCGAAACAATGTAAGTATTATCAACATTGTAACGGAATTTTCGATAGTACAAGAGATAGAGATAGACTAAAGTAATGGTAAAATGTGATGGGACAATACTATATGAATAAGATATTTTCATAAGTATAGTAACTAGATATAAACTTATTCCTTTATATTCAACAAATAGTTATGAATAAATATGAATAATATGGTGATTACGACAGTTCACAAATATCGACACTTCGAGATGTCGTGGAACAAAAACTCAAGCGTGAATGTTTAAAATAAAAAGGATAAATCGAGTAGTGCACTATATAAGTTTCTTATAACTTATGAGTTTCTTATTATACATACCTATGCTACATAAAATATTTAAGCATGGAAAATCTCTTCAAATTTCCTGACCTTAACTCGGCTATGACGAAATTAATCGCAAATATGTTTTATTTAATTTATCAGCTAAATGTTGTAATCTATGCAGTATAGACAAAGCGAGAGAATTATGTTGATCTACTATTAACAAAAAGATATTCCCGTGTAACTAGGAACACAAAAAGAAGCAATTAAAAAAATTTTATTGGAAATTTGGAAAGATTTTTTTTTCAGATACAAGACTCCAATCTTATAAAACACTCTGCCTTTTTTCGAACCTTGTACCCAGAGGATATAGCCTTAAAGACGCAGTTTACATTATATTTTTGCAAGCAAATGACGAATATTTCATACAAATAACCTATGAAAAATGCAGGCATTTTGCAAATGAATATATTAAACAGATAAAAGAAAATTCACATCCCTCAAATCCATATGCAAAAATATATAATATGCCACTCTCTCATAAGTGAACAATAGGAAAAACAAAAATGAAAGATAAAATCGTATCGTAGTCGTAAAACCATCCAAAGGATGTATAAAGACTGCGAGAAATAGTAAACATGAAAACGCTTGTAAAATGGCCAATACCTATTGAATTCATCGAAGATTCAATCGACGATATGTTTAAACTACTAGAAAAATGCCTTAAAGTACTCTTAAGCCGTAAAGTTTCTCCAGCTCTATTGTCATGTGTGTATGTAGCTCAAAGTTCGGTTGAAGGTGAACTGACTAATTCCGAAGTAATTTTTGAATTCTAAGGCGAACCGATGTGTTTCTCAAGCATTACTGTAAATTTTAATAGTAACTTCACTTTAATTTTTAAGTAGCTCTTGTAGCTTTGCTCCGTCTCAGACAACTGTTCGCCGATCGCTCTTGTACGATTGGCAGTAATTTCAGACCTACCCATTGGATTCCCAGCGCCTTGTACAGCGGTGTACTCAAGTCTGATCGGGCGCCGACTACAATTACGTAACGTTGCGTGTCAAAGCGCAAACCAGGGACATGAGGCCGAGGGACAACTGTGCCGTGAGCGAGCACAGGGCATGTCACCGTGTAAGCGACATCCGCTACCAGGTCATATTGATTGCGTTTGCATGTACGTCAATTAGGATCCGCGGAACGATGCGTCTTCGGCTCGACTAATTATCGTCTTGTCAGCCGGGCCGCTTGTGTGCGTGATTGTGCACACGAGCCGGCGGCGACGTTGATATATGCGTGACACACATCTGCGCGGATCTCTATTATCCCGCATCACCCTATATCTGCCTATTGTAGACCTGCGGGGATAGCGTAGGTTGGGTAGCGTAGAGTGAGCATGGTACTTACGCCCTGGGCGACGGAGCGGCGGGCGTCGGTGCGGTGCGGCACATGGAAAACGAGCATTGGCAAAATAACAAATCTGAATAAGTTTTATACAACAATAGTTAGCTCAAAATCTTCATTGGTATTACTTTGTTCGAATAATAAAAAAAAGAAACTGAATTGAATACCATCGAGATTTGATTCGACTCTTTAAAAATGCTATTAATGCATTAATCGATTCGTGTTCGAAAAACAAAAGCTGTAACAAATCTTAAAATTTATTACCTTGAACTTGTATCTTTACTTTTTTTACTTCAAAATGAGTTTAACTTTTGAATCAATGATAAATGTCGATGCTTCTTACAGTTATGATGTATAAAATTATTCTTACTTACTTAATCTTAATTTTGAAGTTGGACGAAATTTTGTCTGCATCTCCGTAAATCTCACTTACCGTAAATGGGTCCTGAAACAAAAACTGAGGTAATTAAGAATCTGAATCAACATAACGCATGTTGTACGAAGGCACAAATTTGCCGACATTATTTACACGAGTATCGGAGGCTTAATAAACGTAATTTTGTCACAAAATGGTAGTCGGGCGGGGTCGGTCCGTAATTACAGTGTTTCGACGCTATAGCCGACGTATAAATTATAAAAGAACAAAAAACTGATAAGTGCACTATTCATTTCGATATACATATAAATGCATGCCTATAAATAGGGACAACAAAGGAAACAATCATTATTACGGGATTAAGACTGATTTTAGATAACAAACCAAGTGTAAAATTTTTCGTTCTTTAAAAAAGCGTTCTCTACCTTAAAACTGCTATTAAAATTATGGACCTAGTTACGGAATTAAAATGAAAACTTTAATGTAATTTTGACACAGAAGTGAGGTGGAAGTTTTTTACTTCTGCGTTTCGTACGTTGAGGGAGGCTATCGGCACCCACTATATTTTAAAGGTTGGCAACACATGCAGTTTCGCAGGTCACAATAGGTATCTCCATGTGCAGCGGTATTTTGGGACGATTTGCCGATTAGTAAACCTAATAGTGATAAAAATTCAAAAAACGGTCGTTGGTTATTGAACATTGTATGAATAACAGTTTTCACGTTAAGAATAGCGTTTATTTTGACCTAAACATTAACTACAAATACCGTAATGAGTCTTAACGAATCAACACTGATTTTTTTTTATGTCCGTTAAGATCAACACCATCATCTTATCCTATTTTAGTCTAATAGTAAACATCTACAGACTGCCAGGAAACATTATCCTGAGTCACCTGCACATTTGCACAGGTCGTCACTCAATCAATTCGGCGGTTTATTTCAGATAAAAATTACAAATCAACATGAAACACTGACAGCGGAGGACTATAACTCAGATATTTATCTGATATAACATAATATGTATGATTAACGGTGGTAGGGCCACGCAACAGTTTCCGCTGTTGCAGTAATGGGCACGCGGTCCATGTAAGTACCACGACCTCACAGAAGACGTGATAGTTAAGTGTTATTTATATTTCTGCGTTTCGTCTGATGAGTGAGGCAGCCGGAGCCCACTTTATTAAAAGGTAGCAACGTATCTGCAACCCTACGCAACCCTACGGGTGTTGCAAATGTCCATGGGCGGCGTTTATCACTTAACATCAGATGAAATGCCAGCTCGCTTGTCACCTTCTCACAAAAAAATTCCTCGTCGAAGAGATGTGGATAAAAAGAGTAGTATTGAATTCGGTGTGGGGCGTTGTAAGCCCACATCGGAATGACAGTATGAAAGTTTCCAACTTCCTCAAGAGTTTCGCTAACTGAAAAACGTAAAAGGCTCTAACCTAAGGCGCGACGCATCAAGCCGCGGCAGACCATCCCATGGAATCTGTACCGAGACGGCCGAGTTCAACTATAGCAAAAAAATGAGGGAACCCACCCGTTCCCACTATCGCGAGACGTTTTGTTTTAATGCACCCATAATGGTCGGGGCGATCGTATGAAATACGTAATGCGGCTAATAGGTCCCGACGGGCAGCTTCCTCAGCGGTCGCGGCCAATCTCGCCTTTGGTAATAACCTTAATACGGCCGAGATACGGCCGTGCGTTCACAATGAGGATGGGTAATGACGTGGCCGCCTCCGCCGTCGATAATTCGACCGTTTTGTGAATATGTTTGAACGGCGCATTGCGATTCAGCGATTAGGGGGCTTAATAGAAGCGATTACGGCCATTAGATGCCCTAGTTGTACATCTGCTTCGTCTTAAACGTTGCGGTGTGCTTCGGTCGTGAGAAAGTATATGTGAAAGGCGTCAGGGCAGACGGCGACACCACAAAAGCAGCTTTATTTATCGAAGAATGTAATAAAGGTAAATCTTTACATATACAATTCTTCTGTACTTGTGTATGTTACTGGACTCCTCCTAAACGGCTGGACCGATTTTAATTAAATTTTTTGTATGTCTTCAGGTCGTTTCGAGAATAGCTTAGATTCACAATTCGGTCCAGTATATATTTTTTTTTGTTCTTAAGTTGTCTAATTTAAGTCGTTGTGTACATGCGTTAAGCATGTACAGACGACTTAAATTAGACAACTTTGAATCAACAAGACAAGTTTGAATCAATAATATAATTTGAGATTTCATAAATGGCAATTTTTTTGCACCTTTTACTTTCAAAATAGTAAGAAATAAGCCTTCTGTGTTTAAATTATCTGTTAGAAATTCATTCTCCTAATTCTTTTAATAGCAATTTACATATATTATTTGAAAAAAAAAAAAAAAAAAAAAACAACATCATACGGGAATACAATCATCATCAAATGCTTTGCATGTCTGAAATATTCACTTTTAAAATAGACATTTTAACAACTTTTTGAGTTCAGACCCATTATCGACGCGCGTCTGAATTGGCAACATCCGAAAATAGAAAACAATGCGCTTGTAACGCGAACACTGAAATATTCGTACCTCGGTCGCATAAAAGGATCTAATCAATTACGAAAAAAAAAAACATACGTAAGACGAAGCTCAGGATTGGTGAGAGGAAAAAAGAAACTCATAATTAATCACAATCAGGCAACGCGGCAACGTCGCGCAATTAGTCATCGGGTGTCATTACGAGAAATGTGTACCGGCCGTGTAAGTGATACGCGGCTACGGCTATAAGTGTGCTGAATGAGAATTTCTAAAATAAGAGGCGATTTATTATCGGGGGCACTGCGGGCGCGGTGACGCAAACATTCGTCGACAGTTATTAAGCGGTCGAGCTACTGCATTAGAATGGAGCGGGGGCCCGGTGCCGCGCGGTGGCTTCCTCCCCTGCATGTGGCCGCCACATTCGTAGCCGGCCGACGCGTCCGATTCGGCGGCGAGCGATGAGGGCTACACCAGTCGTCGTGTCGCATCGATATCGATATCGATTCGCGTTCGAAGATCGCAATCGAACAACGCGGCAACAATAGTGCGACGGGGGCTATCGGGCCGATCTCGACAAGGCCGCCATTGTCTTTATCGTTGTGAATTTAATTGCGGCCCTGTTAGCGGCTCACCCCGTGGATGTGTCGTTAATAGAGCGTTGTCTCTTCATTTTGTTTGAACGCTCACTGGCTCTGTTATTTCGGAGCGGCTAATAAATTGCGCGATGACAGGTGTCAGCTGCTCCAACGCCTCTGCACTCTTGCGTCGATGTCTCATTCCTCACGCTCCGCTCCTAAATTCTCTTATTTTATCAACGCTCCGTTCAATTTTCGTTTCGTTCGCTCGCCATTCTATTTGTTTGCGTTCGCATTATAGTTTCGGTCCGGCTTAGTGCGCTTTGACGAGTCTTCCTTTCTTTCTTATAAAAATAAGCTCGTAATAATTTCCAACGATTTCCGCGCGCGATGTGTCTTACATGACAAATTTCAATTCGTATCATTGTATTCCTTTTTTATTTCACCGTTTATTAATCGTAACCAATTTCAAAATGTGTGCTGTCTCTGTAGATAATTGGAATTCCTTTAATATGATATGTTATATTTGTAATGCATATTTAGAGTAGACAAGAAAACAATTTTTAATGCAAATTTAGCGATGCGCAATTAAGGCAGCCGCGAGTGGCGATACGGGAACGTCGTATATTGCCATCGGCTTTCAGTTCATGGTAGGAAGGGAATAAATGGAACAGCACGAAAGGCAATGAAGCATTTAGCAGTCCGGTAAACCGCGACAAGATTTATGCGGCGCAGGGGGAAAATAGCTCACATGCACCGTTTTTACTTTTTTTTAATAATGCAACAAAAACAAAACAACTAGCATACGTATCACTTTGAGTGTGACGTTCTTAATATTATAAACAACTATGTATTTGAATATGCCTCGCGTGTGAGATCGTTCAAATCTAGAAAACAAGTGTTGGTAGAATAATTATACACGGCATGTTAAGCAGCCTTAGCCTTATACATTTTAAAATTTGATGTAAATTTTTCACCGTTATAAAACGTCCATAAATATATGTTAGGATTTAGTGTATACACACTAAATCCTTTACCGCTATTAATATTTTATTCTACTTAGCAGCGTAGTAAGTAATCGAAACTAGAATCTACCTCTAGGATTAACTTGGACACATACTGCGCGAATTTCTCATTACCTACCTATCGTGTTTATAAAATTTAAACTATACTCTCACAATTATTGAAATCCGTCATAAATCAGTGCGTGCTGTTATATCGCTGTCACCGGTGATTTTTTTTAAATAAAGTAAAGATTTAACACTTAAGTTATACATTTAATTTAAACATTTTAGTTAAAAATTTAATTTAAACATTTAATTCCTTAGTAAGGTAGCTCGATTTGGAGCTGAAAATTCCGGCGCACAAAACCAAGTTTATGAGAAGGTCATTTATTGTGCAGGGTGATTTACCTCTAGAAGTAAGACGCGCTAAATCAATAACTATTTTCAAAAATCGTGTAAAGAATCACTACTTACCTAAATGTATTATATAAGTATGTATTTGTTTATATGTATATTTATATGCATGTATTGATACCCTTTTGAAGATACATTTACTTATTTACTCATATATCTTATTTATTTTGATTGTACTTAAGTGATTATTTATTTCCTTCACGAAAATAACTAACCCATACCTATAATTGGCACCATAAATGTTTAAGCATAAACGCTTTATTACTCCTAAATTAATTTGTTTTTAGTCCATCTGAAGGTTGCCTGGAAGAAATTACTTTTAGTAATAAGACCGCCCATTGTACCTATAATTTGTACATAAAGTTCTTGGTTCTTGTTTATTTTGTTTTGGTTTGCATTAAAGAATATTCATTCATTCATTCATTCTTGTATCTTGTATTAACTGATGTTTTTGCTTTCAGTCCCGACACTATTAAAGCTTCATCTGACGCAGAACCGGTGGGCTAGCTAGAACCCACGGGTTTGGGCATTCATTCACTCGATCGAAAATATGAACAATTTCGGAGCTAGATTAATTTAAATGTATATCGAAAATTATAGCATGTTCAGTTCCAATTATAGTACCGCACACACGGAGACGTTCAAATCTGAATCGTCGTTGAACAAAGGAGATAACGAAATCGTTTTACTAAAAATAATAAAAAAAGACGCGATCGTCAAGACCGAATCGAGTTTTATTGTGGAGTTCCGCCAATCATATATTGATTACACTTCAGGTGCATGTCTGTTATAACAATGCTTAAATTTAATTGGAATAAAGGCATTCAACTTGTATTTTAATGATTTACAAAATAAAATATCCCGGGTGTGGTGAACGATACAAGGCAATATAGAATGTGTAATAGTGTTTCGAATACAAGAGTTCAATGCAATATCAAAACGTTCTATTTCACGATTAAAATCCGAAAACAATCGAACACGAGTCAGGGCCTCTAAAAACGCCGTACAGAATAAATCAGTCATATATGTATTTCTTTTTACTATCGTTAATTACAGAAGGGCGTATATAAATAAAGAACGGGCGCCCATTGAGGCGGGCCGGAGAGATCGCCGCGCCTCGACGTGTTGCGACAAGCAAATGCACTTATCTCACCGGCTCTTGAAAAACTGCCTCAGCCCGCTGTCGTCAGTTAGTTGCGCCAACAACGCCCTATAACCGGAGTCATTGCCTCCAAAGTTAACGTTTATACGGCGCTCGGATAGCCGACGCGGGACAAAAAGTACAAATCACGGACGGAGGTGACAATAAGATATCCACTTTTGACCGTGTTCCCGCCATTTATTTTCCGGTGGGGTTTTTGTGGAGTCGCCGTCGACGGGGAGCGGATGAATGTACGAGGATCGTGGACGCTTGGAGTGATCAGCGAGTAATTAGCCGCGGGCGTTTATGCGAGCGAGCCCGGCTCGCGTGCGTCCCATAAAAACATCGGTAGCGGGGGACACGATGATAAAACAAACAGAAGTCGTCGCGGTATTATCGTTACAAATAAATTGTCCGGCCGCGAATGAATATCGATAAATTGAAAATGTAAAAACATATCATCGATTATTGTAAACAGCCGGCGGGCATTTGACTCATTCATTGGGCCAATTCAACGGCGGTAGCGAAGGCCGATGAAATTTTAATTGAAACTTAGAACGAGAGGCTTTATCCTTGTCGGGGTGTTCGACGCGTTTCGCAAGAGAATTATGACTTAGCATAGGAAATTACCTATCCGCGTATTGAAGATAATTTATGGCTGTACTTTAACACTTAAAAATTCAATTTACAGCTTACACACATTAGAGATTATATATGCACGATTGATTCTTCGTTTGCCCTTAGAATGAAGCGAACTCGCATCGCTATCGGGAACTTTGCAATTTACATAAATCCGAAACTTCCACCCGACAGAGGCCTTATTAAAATCTTAAAGAGAACTTTAATTTGCGTCGACAGCAACATCATTAATCTTATTACAAGGCAACCTCCTAACTTCTCTATTACAACAAAACAACAGGAAAATGCTCGGAAGCAAATAACTTCAAGATAAAATCGGAGTGAGGCTTTTTAAGTGGCAGCTAAATAGGTAATATTATGCGGCGAGCAGATGCCGGTGAAACAACATATACTTATAATTATCTAACACGTGTGTTATTATACATCGAAATGTTTATGCATAAACGCTTATTAACCGCAGGGGGGTCATGACATATCGTGAAACGCCTAATAGGCGTGTACTGTTTGAGGTGGGTGACGTAATCATCAACCGACTCCATTACATAGCATTCCCCCGTTTCAGACGGGAGAGCATAATCGATATTCGGAGCGAATGTTTAGGCGAATTCAATCTTACAGCTGCCATATAGCCGGCTAGTGAGGTATACACATTTGGTATACGACGGGCGCCGTACGCAAATGCGTTGGTGTCGCCCGGCCAATCGATTGTGGGTGTTCCGATGCGGTCTCTACGTAAATCTCGACAATGCACCACGAGCAAAACGAAGCGCCGGCGATTCCTCGCGTCCGTTATCGACGCACCCGAATCTGCCCGGTCTGTCCTTGCGTCCGGTTAAACAAATAACGGGGTGCGCGGGTCGGGGTGCAGATCCTAATTAAGAATTGTACCCGGCCCACGCCATACGTTACACGGATAAAGCGTGGGCTGTTAGTCACCGCGATCGGTTGCCGGTCGTTTGGCGCGCGTGCGGTTTTTTCCCCCCGATTGAGAATATATATATCTATGTTTGCAAAAATGGACGACGATGAACATAACAATAGATGGGCGAAGCCTTGCTTGAACAATGGAGATAAAACAAATTGAGATTTTCGTCGGCATGGCAATCAGCCGTTTAGCTTAATGGTCAAAGCGTCTGGGCGAGCTACCGGTAGACGCGGGATAGATTCTCGCGGCGGCGGAAAACTTTTTGTCCATTTTTAATGTTTCATCTAAAGAAAAGTGTAGAATATTTATATGAAATTTAAATATATTGACAGATCAAAATTACTTTCAATCGGGATAGCATCGTACAGCTGCAGCCTGTACAACAGACAAAATTGTAGTATAGTGAACGTTGTTATCTCTCGTTTGCGTTGTTATCATTTATCTTTACTCCTTGTTCAATTTTTGCAAAATAAAAAAAAAATCAAACATCGTGACGGGATCAGGATCGGTGTTGAATTGTGCTCTATGTAAGAATTTTCTAGTCTGGCGCTTGCGTGGATGGGTGACCGTTACAGGTACATAAAGGCGTGCGCCTCCGCGCTTCGTTGCGCATGTTAAGTCATAAGTCACGGTTGTGTCGGGACTTCTTGGTAAAGCTACGTGTGAGGTTTTCGGTAGGCCTAGGAGTTCTGGCACGCCTTTCCTGGCCTGATTATGGTGCGTTATATTCACCAAAGTTGGCATTAGTTTACAGTCTTTGCTGTTGCACGAATGGGCAGGTCCGTTCGTGGAGGTACCAAGACCCCACAGAAGACGGGCGTGAAGTGCAAGTGTTATAATTCTGCGTTCTACCTAGTGAGTGAGGTAACCGGGACGCATTTTATTAAAAAGTTGCAACGTATTTGCAATCCTACGAGTGTTGCAAATGTCCATTGGCGGCGGTCACGTGAACGTGAAACCTGCTTGTCACTTCTTCCATAAAAATATGGTGGTATGTGATTACCGCCGCTTATGAGCATTCGCAAAATCCATGAGGTATCATATGCATTGCCAATGTGAAAAACTGGCCACGAGCAGGCGGTTCACCTAATGTTAAGTGATTATCTCCCTCCATGAACATTTACAATATCTGAGGCGTTGCCAAACTTTGTAAATGTGGGCCCCGGTTACCTCACTCACCACACCGCTGTATAAAAACAAACAAAAATATGTTCAGAACTTTCGATTAAAATCTATGGTTGAATCGCTTAAGTAAATATTTGCCTCATCAGAAATTGGAAAAGAGAAAACGAAACGAAAAGCAATCCGAGAACGGCTAACGAGATTATAATTAAAAATATTACAACCACTTCATAATCAGAAGTCAATTAAAGAGCGAATTACAAATAAAACGGAACCAAACGGAAAATAATTACAGGCAACGGCGGCTCGGGCGTGCCGCGTACGATGCGATGCGTAATTAGAGACAATTGTAATATGGACACGGGGATTATGAGCAGGAGATATCGGGGCGAGGGTCGGGAGTAGCCGGGCATCCGAAGCCCGTGGCGGCCACGGCGGAGTTCTGCCCACCTCGTCCGCACTACAAACCGATGTTATCTCTCGTGTTTTAATAGGTTCCCGCCGCGGCACCGGCCGACAGATAAATTCAATATATACCTCCTCCACGGCCCGTCATAAGGCTTAAATCAACACACGAGGCAATTACAACCGCGCCACACTTCATCACAGATGCGAATGGTGATTAGACGACGCCCGCCTTTTTATCTGGCTGTACCTGGTCGCTCCGGGACGAGCCACGGCTCAAGCCCGACGGTTATGACGAGAGCCAAATTCCGCGACGCATCACAGAAGCAACAGAAGCTTCCGTAATGACCGCATAGGGTAGTTCCACGTCTTATTGTTTATACGTGGTTTTAATTTAAATAAATGTGGGTGTTTTAGCTTGCAACGGTGTGGTTACAGTCAGACGGGACAGGAAGACAGTATGCCCATGGACGCTGTAAAGTATTCGAAGTGAAGTGTTAAGCGACGGGAATTTACAATTAAAATAAAACGGGATTCCAAAAAGAAACCCATAAAAAAGTTTTATTAAATGATCAACATTTCATGTGTTGGCGTAAATACAAGAAATGCATATTTTTTTAAGTCCATGATTTCTGGTTCGGTTCTAATTGCTCATTATTTCAAAAAATTAGGAATTATTAAATATTTAGAAGAGCGCAATTAAACTTTATTATAATTTATAGTTAAGTGTTTTTATATAAGACAACAACTAGCAACAAAAATGATGAATAGATTAGCGGTACAAAATTTTTACATAATAAATTATAGGGACCGGTTGTATCGTTTTACTAGCGAGGTTAAATATATGCGATATAGTTCAAACCAATTTACAGTAGTAACTAAAAAGACTGGGGTGGTCTACGCTTGTAATTTGAAATTACAATGTTTCAATCGAATGAAATTAAAAGTTCATACCTCCGTCATGTTTAATTCCCAGATGTATTAAAGAATAAACAACAGTCTGAAAAACACGGATAATTGAAGACTCACTTCAACAATGATTTCAAGAAAAATGTTTGGATAAATTGAGGCCGTGATTGACAATTTGTAATTATGTATCGAGAGTCTTTGGGTTTTAGACAAAAATTTGGCACAAACCGTAATTCTGTGCCACCTTACATATGTATATTATTCCTCTCTGTCTCAATGGGTTCAACTTTGTGAACCACAAAACTAATTCAAAAATAATCTAAATTCTCCACTACCTGGTGGTATCTGTGAGGTCGTGGTACTTTATAGCCTTGTAAAATATCGTTTTTCTCACCACCCCGCCATATTTCAGCCAAATAAATTGTCGATACAGGGCATTATCAAACATTTTTATAAAAATTTTAAACGAAAGTTTTGTAAAGAAAATATTAACTTAATACTATTTGTTTATTTTTCGCCAATAGCGGCAAACATAAGCTTTAAATTGGTGTTTGCATCATTGAATTTGGTGAAGAATTAGAGCTATGGCCTACCGACTAAAAAGCACATTTGAGAAATAGCGTAACGAGATTGTCACATTTATATTAGACAATTTATGGCGTACAATTTCTTTTAATTGTCCGTTTTCAAAAGTCTTGAAATTTTAATATTTTTGGGCATTAATTGAATTGATTGTGACTTTTGATGTCCAACAGCCACAGTCAAACCAATAAATATACAAGATAAGGAAAAGTGCAAGGAATTGCCGCCCCGGAGCGAACATTGTCATATCTTTTCTTGGCCACATTTGCAGGTGTTAAAATAAAGGGGAAAACTTTGCTTTTATTTAAATATTGGAACATTTCGAATGGGAGGCGAAAATTGGTGCGGTTTTGGATAGCTCAATAAGCAAAAAATGTTCCCTTAAAAAGCATTCCGAGGGATCGTTTAAACAGAACATCTTCATCAGTCCCTTTCAATTCGATTAATTAAAAGTTTACCATGGAAAAGAGTAATCTTAGCGCGAGGGTTGTAGCGAACTGAAGTTCTTTTGTGTTTTATCCTATAAAGAGAAGTTTTTCAGTAAAACAACGCTCAATCTGCAACAAAATATAAAAGTTTCACAATAACGTATACGCCTCCGGCGGGGAGATCATCAAAAACGAGGAATAATTCCTCCTTCTAAAACTTACCCGCCTGTTTACCAACGGAATTATTTGAAAAGCGCGCTGTTCGGAAAAGGATTTAACGAGGCGGTCGCGAGTCTGGTTTGATGAGTCTTGGTCCGGCGAGGCTGGTTTCAACGACGTTATTAACAAATCTTTTTCAAACCGAAACCAGCATGATAATCGCAGATGAATTGATCGAGACATTAGGGTGCTCGAGTGTGTACACGGCTGTCTAACTTTAATTAGCCAATGCAGCGTTTCGCACACTGGGGCGTTGCAAATGCGAAACGCAGCGCACACGTTCTAATTCAGCTTAATGCAAAAGCGTTGTGTATACGTATTGTGTCGGGCGTAATGAGGCCGTTACGCGGTGCGCAGACTGGGTACTGCCCAGGGCGGGCGGCGACGCGACGCTCCACTCCGGCTGCAAACCTCACCCAATTAGCCCCAAAATAATGAACATGTTTTATATTTCCACCCGAATGCGGCATGTACTCGCCCCGTTCGCCCCGGGAGGTCGTGCGGTCGCCCCGAGTGCCGTTACACGCCCGTGTCTTCGAGTGGGCATTGTAATTACGCGGGGACACGTTCATCCCATTGCGATGCCGCTTAATACAAGCGCCCCGTTTCGCGTGTTAAACGCCCAGCTCAACTGAACAGTCGGAGCACTCTTGATCACAACGAACGGGCAACCGTTTTGAGATGTGTTCCGCACTGTCTGCGCTCTACCATTGTTCGCCCCTAATCACTTCGGCAACTACCGAGGTTTCGGGCGTAATTAGTTGTTTTTTGATTCAATAACAAATGGTTCCCGTAAACAATGGAGAGCTGTTAAAATGGCGCAGTCGTCCTCCAGTGAGTTTTATGTAATTGTGCGAGGATTGACAGAGGAGTTTCGACACAGTTCCCATAGTTTCACCATTATAAATGTCAACCGTATAACTTATAGTAGCACATAACTAAAATATCATAAGCGATAACGTAACATTCTCAATCAGGGCGACGATGACAGACGAGAGTTATAAAGCGATACGGTCCCATCGCGTTTTAATGGACTCTTAACAATTTCCTGCCTCTTTAGTCTACAAATAACCCGACCGCTCGCGGAGATTTAACTAAGCTTGAATAAATAATCAATCCGTCGCGGGGCGCGGCGGCGCCTGATCAATTGCCACAATAGCCGCCGGGTGATATACTCGGCGTGGCGCGGCGATAAATATTCCGAGACAAATGTTTAGAGCGTCTCTGGAGAGTTGCGGTGACACTAAATTTAAAAGCATCAATTGTACAGAAATAACCGGAACACGGCCGGGATCTCACGAAAACAAATCGCGCATCGGGCGGTTGACGACAATCGTGATTGACTGCGCAAGTGAACAACTCTAATATAAACAAATTAATAGGGAGCGAGGCTCGTCCCGCGGCGGCGGGCATAATTTAAGCCCCGCGCTGAGGCGGGGGGCCCGAGTTCGACGGCACCCGGGTGTCATTGGCTGTATTCACCAAAAAAATATTAGCCACACTGGCTGTAAATCAGGCACAGTTAGCTAGCTTGCGTTACGCTTACAACATGCTTCCTGTCTAGTGACGCTACGATTATAATCGGGTAGGAAACATAATTCTCGAGTGATAATTTCTCGGGCGCTTCATAACTCCCGCTCGTGTTCGGAGTTTTATTATGTCGTATGGAATGTCGTATTTCATGCGAGCGGGGGCGGCGGCGCTGTCTCAATTCCCGAATCCCGGCGTCCATTAGCGATGCGCGCGCGTACGCGTGTTAATCGCGCCCTCTTAAGGGGCGCGTAATCGAAAACACGGGCAATTTTAAGAGTCACCACGTCTATAAATAAAGGAGTCTCCCAACATTAATTATGGACTTAATTATGCTAGAATCCCTTTGATTTACAGGCCGCACATTACCGCCGCAAACGAATTGTACCGGCTTAGCGGAGTTCCACGAGCGCTGCCTACAACCTGGCGGTTTATAATTATTTTTGTCGTTGAATAACAGTCTCAGCGGAGCTCACGGATCGAGATGAAAGCGAATCGAGACAAGTTGACGCCTGTAACGTTGCCGGGGATTAGCCGGATAGGCCGTTTACGTCAGGCGCGGTTTCACCGTTATTTCGGGATTTGAGGCATCGTGAGACGCGCGCCGTCGAGGGTGCGCTGATTGATTAACGCCGATTTATATGCGCCGCGGCGGAAGCTATTAACGATCGGCGACAGTTTGGGTTTGAAAGCGACGGTCGATCGGTTTGCGACGTTTCGGACTGGGGCCGTTAACGCTGCCCTTGTTGTAACTCGCGGCGGGGGAAAATTGGCGTGTGGCGCTTGTACGCCGGCGGCACTGTAAGGTCTCCCGTGCCCTTACCTCCCCGCCCCCGCTCCCCGGCCCCATCCCCCGCACCGCATCATCGCCGCGGGCACCACGCAGGAGGGAGCTGCCGCCGTACACGGCGCCATTTCCGACAAGTTGCGGAAACGCCCGCACGGCCTTCACGCGTTTCGCTTGTAAGCGGCACCGTTGTCAAATGCTCCTTTCAATGCTTCGTCTTTGATGTAATTCAAGGTCTGCCGTTATGAGACATCCGTTCGTATGTAGGTTGAGAGCTAAGGAAACAAAGGAGAACTTGTAACGGGCAGAGCGGTTTGTTAATGAATGTGTGAGCTAATAAATGTCAAATAACCACAATCCATTCCAGGTTTTGTTTTTAGAAATCAGAAATGAATTCTGATTTCTAAAAACAAAACCTTAAGAAACATTAGCGTTTATATGGCACGATCCAGGATAATGTATTTTGATCGTATGAAATTGTGGACACCGCGGAAAGATTTAGGTTCTTTCGTATGAACCCTAAAATCGCATTAATTATATTGCTATGTCCATGTTACTGTGGTTCAAACTCTTTCCGTTAAACATATCACATCAAAGGCATATTTAACACAAGTACTTAATTTGATCCGATAGCAACACATTGTTAACGGGCGATATGTTTTGTGTCAAGCGTTGACTCACGACGAGGAGCGAAGATTAAGGCGCGTTAACAAGAACTGTCAAATAACACGCGCGTCGCCCATAAAATAGCTGCAACCGGCAGCGGTACAAGCCGACACGGTGTACAGTCAGCGCCAAATTGAAGTTCCCTCCAAGGTCGCAGGGCACGGTACAGTCAACGCGAATTCGTCGCAGTTCGTTCCATTCTGGGCGTTCTATTCGCAATACAATCGCAAACCAGCGAGACGCCATCTATCATCGGAATCGACGTGGCGGTCGCCGGGATCGCACCAATGACGGGACAATCGAATAATTGTGCCGGATCGCGTACAATTGGCCCGGAACGCCAGCATTGACCCCCTCCGCGCCCTCCCCACTACGGCCTAGTGTTTAGAAACAATAGCCGTGCAACGCAATTAGTTTATCGGATAGATGGTGGTCGAACGAGTCGTAAATCTACTCTCTTGCCGCCAGTGGGCACCGCATAGACACGCGCCGTATGTAGATTCGGTTCGGTTAATTAATGTGCCATGGTAAAGTGCGAGGATTCGCCTCTATAAACCCCCCCACCCCCCCCGCCCCCGGCGCCTTCCCCTGCAACCCCGGCCGGGTTCCACAAATTGCGCACCCGTCTCCCCGACGTACGATAGCGCCAATTTTGCCAAATTAAAACTCTACACCGAAGAGCGTATACATCGAGTTGAATAACTTGTCTATAGGATCATTCGTTAACAAAAAATAAGTGTCTAACGATTTTAATTAGTAGTTTTAGTGAATGTCTATGAGGAAATTGAATTTGAATTGAAGATAGATGAACAAATTGCGCGCCATTTATCATTTAGCGATTTGCTACAAAAGTTCACAATTTAAACTTTGATATTGAGTGCAGAGAGTAGCACAAAAATAAAAAATAATACTAAAAAATGCTATGAGTAACTCATATGGTTTACTCTAAAATCATTTGATGTCTCATTTCATTATATTGGGACTGCAGTATGTATTTCAAGTCGTGAATAAAAAATAACTTGTTAGTTCACTAATGTCGGTGGGCGAACATAAGTTCAAATAGTCAAATCGCCAAACGAAATTAATAAAAAATGAAGACACATTTTGCCTCGAATTATTTTCTACAACTTTAGCTTCGAATAAAGTGTAATGAAATAACTTAAAAGGTACACTATCCATCCATTCGAAATCGTCCACAGTTTTTAACAAGAGCCGCAACGAACAGATAAGATCTGAATCTAAGCCACGTTTCCAAAAGCAGAGGCATTTTATCCGATGGGATTATTTGAAATAGATAGTCTCAGATACTTAGCCTTAACGGTCAAACTGGTGATAGTCTATTTCTAAACGCAAATGCGCACCGGCAAAATCTGATAATGAAAAAATTATAATGTTTTATATTTTAATGTTTTAATGTATTAGTTGTCAAAGACCAATTCTCTCGAGACCAGAGAGTATACCAACACTTAAGGGAAGACGGATTCAAAGGCTACTAAAAGATCGATAAACGCAAACATCCTATCTTTGACTCTGGTATGGTCAATATTTCTTTAACGGAATGAAAAGGGTAAAGTTGTTCAAAGTTCTAAAAGTTCCAATAGGAATATGTAACCAAGAATCCGGTAGATGAACCGGAGTGAAACGATTAGGCGTCTTGTTGGATTCGCGTTGAGTCTCTTTTCGTGCGGACCGATCGAGCTTTTCGCGGCGGCGACCTTATCCCGTATCGGGGTGTCTCCAAAGTTGGTTAGCGTCAAGCGCGCCGAGCGAATGCGGTCGTTTGCTAAGCGCTCGTCAAAATCGCTTCCGTCCTGACGTACAGCCGTCTGCCCCCACCGCCCTTATTATCCCTTTCATGCTGTATTTCAATTAGCATGCTTTCGTGATTTGCAATAACAAACGGAGCCCGGTTAACCGAATACAATGCCCGCGCCTATGGGCGAGGAAATCCCTTCGTGCAACTACGATCCCACTCGCAATAGTGCGCGAAGATGATCCAATAAAATAAATCGTAATAAATCGTTTTTACTTTATTTTTTTGCTTTACGCTTTGTTACTGATCCACGGCTCGAATTAGCGACTGCAGCGGAATCAAATTCAAAGAAAAATTCAATTAGGATAGTGTTGCAGTTTACTTCGATTAGTTCGGTTTGTGAAGTTTGCTGTTGCATAGTGCGTGAAATTCTAAATCACGCTGAAGGGCTTGAAGAAATGATATAAGAAACCGTGCATTGAAACGTAAATATTAAAGAAAAAGCAAGACTAATACGCAGCACGCATGAGTTACGGGGCGTAAGAAAAAAAGGGGCACATGACACGAGCCTCGGTCGAATCAAAGGCTCCAATATGTTATTGGGGGAACAAATCCAAAAGCCGGTGTGGCGACGCATTTTATCCCACCAGCCGCAGGACACGGTCGGCACGAACAGCGCGCCCGCGCCGGTGCATTACACCCACACGCCTGTATCCTTTTGGAAAAACATAAATCCGGCCAATAAAAAACAATTCCTCCTTCAATTCGGGAAACATTGTTCGCCGTGAGCCGTTCGAGAATTGATGAGGATTATTAAGCGAGTACATTTTCTCCTTTTGTTTCTATTGTCACTAACGCTCTCGGATAGAACAAGGACAGGTAATATATTGCTGGAGGAATAACACATATGACACTTATGTGACTCGGTTAGGCAATTTGAAAACTCTAGTCAAAAATCGCGTCGTACCTCAAATAGTGGGAATGGTTGTAGGGCCACGCAAGTCTTCGCTGTTGCACGAATGAGTAGGTCTGTCTGGATAAGTACCACGACCTCACGGAAGACTGGCGGGAAGTGGAAGTGTTACACTTCTGCGTTTCATCAGGTGAGTGAGGTTGCTGGAGCCCACTTTATTAAGAGGTGGCAACGCATCTGCAACCCTACAAGTGTTGCAAATGTATATGGACCGTGATTATCATTGAACATCAAGTAAACCCCCAGCTGGCTTGCCACCTTCTCATATATAAAAGTCTGTAGAGAATGCAATGATGCCATAGATATCTATAGCTGCGATAATCCCTTAAAAATAATCTCTGTCTCGTTCATCTTTTATACAAGTCTATATTACCTAAAGAGCTTATGGTTTTCGTCCAAGCTCAAAATGAAACTAGAACAAGGTAGTGAAATGAGGCGTTTTGTGGACTTATATGTATTTCTTATCGAAAAACGTTCCCGCGTTGTTGAAGTGCAAAGTTTAGACTTTCAAGTAACTTATTGAGAATATCGTAACCCATCCCGACCTGAGCCTACCACATTTTCTAAACAGAGACTTTCTAATAAACACTCAATAAATGCTATGTGACGCATCAAGCGAATTCACCTCGTTACACGTAACGCGCTACATCTTAATGACAGTATTTTCTGAACAGTTTTTACTTCCTTTAGCAACTGTGAATGCCTTACAAGAAAGTGACATTAAAACGAATAGCGGTATAGGAACGCAATAAGCACACTGAAGCGTGGGCACGCAACGGATTCAAAGAAATGGCGGCTAATAGCGGCTAGCAGTAACATTTCCTGGTAGAATTTCAACGACTATTCTGCGCTCCCAATAACGAAGCCAACGCGGGCGAATATTAAACGATAACAAACCGAACAATGGCACCCGACGTGGAATCCCTCAATGCGGTGCCAACACCTCTCCCTCGGCGCCAGAATCGTATTAGCCGAGCGTCGACCGTTGGCCTGTCTCCTTTCAAATTTGATTGTGCCCAACATCACACGCCCATGAACTCTATAATGAAACGGCCGTATAAAAACAAAACTATGGGCATATATGATTAGGTCGATACACGAGTAAGGTAGAACCACTAAACAAACAACCATTATAAAAACGCCCCGTCACCGTGTTGGAAATCACTTATTGTCGGATGACTTGCACTCTCGCGCGAGTGCCTTATGACGGCTCGCGCGCCTTTCTGAGCACAGCGATCGGACGCCCTCATTGTATAGCATTCTGATCAGAACTCAAGAGTTTTTAATACAGAATATATGGCCAATAAAGAAAAATCAAACTAGGTTTTTGAAATTTGACAAACGCGAAAATATTTTCGCGTTTGTCACTGATTGATCACGTAATAGAGATAGATCAGTTTCCGGGCACTCAATTTTAATTCAATATCTTACTCGAGCAACGCGAATTCGAAGTTCCGGTGCCAGCATCGAAGAAAATGTTAATTTTCAGTGACTTATCAAGTGCTCGGCGGTGGACGAAAACATCGTAAGTAATAAATACCCTGCATAATTTCGAAACGATAACAAAAAGATGTATCGAACATCCGTGAAGTCAGCCAATCTGCAGTGAGATTGCGCGGTGGACCATACCCTAATACAGTCTGTACGGAGGAGGCCTTTGCCAAGCAGTGGATTTTGTATAGGCTACTAATACTTTATTTTATCCCATTAAATATTTTCAGATAAGAAAGTATAAAGATCCAATACGAGTTAAAGAAGACTTAGCTAGCTAGAACTTTACTGCTCCCATCATAACCACTGTTCAGGGGGCTAAAGATATCTTAATATACATGTGTAAGCACCAACTTCTTTCTGCGCAAAAACTACAGATACGAAATATCTACTTATGACTGTTATAGACATTACATTTATAAGTACTGTCTACTTGACTACGTCAATGAAAGTAGTCACTTAGATTAGAATTTACTAATATTATATTAGTACTGCACCAGTACTTAGTACTGGACACGGCAATATAAATCCCCGTCTAATTGAAAACAATATAGAAAAAAGTCTCAGCTCTGAGGATCGTAAGAAAATCAACATACATTCATTGTCCTAATAAATACCGTTTTAAATTGTGCCTTCCATTTCTTCCTTGCCAGTGTTATAAAATCGGACTGCAACAATTAACGATTTAGTGCGGAAGATTGGTGTAGCCTCGTCATATAAATTTTATCGTTTTTAACAATGCAATACACAATAACATCGCTGTTTGTTAATAGAGTTGCGGTTTGTAGCTAATCGATCATTCGGTGGGATACGTTATCGGGGCCTGTTACACGAGACGGATATTGGGAATTATTGCGTACGCTCTGTAAGTGGCCGAAGAGTGGCGATGCATTCAATCCATATCTGGGCGTATCTTATCCTTTAAACGAGCAATTCTTGTATATATATATATATATATATATATATATATATATCGGAATCTCGGAATCGGAATCTCGGAAACGGCTCCAGCGCTTTTCATGAAATTTAGTATGTGCATAGATTCGGGGGCGAAAAATCGATCTAGCTAGGTTTCATTTTTAGAAAATGTCCTTTTATCCCTGTTTTCAGGGAATGAAAAATATAATTCGAATATGACGGTAAATTTCGCCGCAAGAGAAAATGTCATTACAGCTCGGTCGGTAATCGGGCGGCCCCAAAACAGACGGCCGTGGTTCGCGTCACGATCATTTACACATTTATATTTTTACTTTTTTTTCGATTCCACATCATTGCTTTCTTTATTTTTAATTTTTTGTCGATTTGTTATTTTGTTATTTTTTTCCCTTTTCTTTTTAAAGTTCTTTCTTTTGTGAAAAACATCAGTTCATATTTCCTTATATTATGCATATTTCATTACTCAGTAATTTGTATCTAAATGTAATTTCCAAAATACACGATTTACCAAAAAAAAAAAAACAAATCGAGCAAAGCTCGGACCTCCGGGTACTATACGATTAAGCGTCCAGAAATTAAATAGCTCAATAGCAAATTGACATTGTTGGTTCAGAATGCAAGACTTGCGATCTGAGGTTGCCAGTTCCAATACAATCGGCATCAATACGATAATTTAAATAGTAGAGAATATTCAAGCTTTTGATTTTGTTAGCAGAATTTCCTGGATTTAACACGACACAAATAAACTTACTCTATGTGTACATTATTTTATGTGAGAATGTTGCAAGCGAGCTGGCGATTCGCCTGATATTAAGTGATAACCGCCGCCCATGGACATTTGCCACACCCGTCGGGTTGCAGATGAACTGCCACCTGTTAATAAAGTGGGCCCCAGCCACCTCACTCACCAGACGAAACGCCTTAGTGTAACGTGGTACTACCCCTGACAGCTGCCTATTCGTGCGACAGTGGCCCCTGTAAGCCTACAGGACAAGCCAGCCGGCCCTAACACACTTATCGTCCTAGGTTTGATGAATGTATCAAACCAAAGATTGATTATAACTTGCTCTACCGTAGGTCCTAAATGTCAACATAATTTGAGGTAGCGTTGAGATGTCAACTGACATCAATTGTTGGCGTTTCGCCCTAACGCCACAGCGGTGCCAAACGGCGCCAAAAACTCGTCAGGGGGCGCGACACCCACGAACGCGGGATAATAAACCGCGGCGCTTGTGGGCCCACCGATTCCCACAGACTAAACTCGGGTGTGCAATAGTGAAACGTCATTTGACGGTCCGCCTGGCGCTCGACGTGCACGAACAAAGGCGCGACCCAGAATCTCGGGTTGCAGCGGTCTGGCGCCGGCCGACACATCCCGAGAACTTGGCACCGCCATTTGGGAAGAGGTAACGGGTGCACAAAAAAACGACGGAACAATACACCACTAAGAGACCTCGGCCGCCACGCACCACTTCGCAGAGTAATAAGCGAGCGTGACAAACGGTTCGGACGTGGAATCGGCTTCGTAATGAATGACGTCATGACACTTTGGTCGAAACGGACATTTCGGGTGAATTCGTGAGGGTGAAACGAGGAAGGATCTGGAGGTAATTATGTATATTAACGAATGTTTTAAAAACGTATCTCGCTCTTTAACACTTTGCTTTGCTTTAATGAAACATGGAGATCGTAAATGAAATCTGGTTCCGTTCATGGGATCTTATGATGCTAATTTATTTGTGATATACAAAGCTCGCAAGCTCTCGCCGGAGTGGATGGGTCTTGTACACGGCTAGCACTTAATTGGCCAATAAGCACGTAAACCTCAATGAGCATAAATCATCGGGGTGTATCGCTGTCTTAATTAGACTGATGTCGACGTGGCCCCGACGGAATAAATCAGGATCTGAATTGCTTTCCACAAAGACACACCCACCGCGACTGGGCGTTAATGGCGCGTGCAACCGAAATACTAGACGACCGTTCGGGTACATTTCTTTTTTTTTTATTCAAACGTTTCGCAAAACAAGCACGTTCGATAGCTATTTCAGGGATAAAATGTAATATTTAATATTAAACTAACAGTTCGCTTGACTTCTTAAGTGATTCTATACCTACTACAAACGTCTAGTGACAGACAGAAAGCTGTTTCGATATAAAAAGCGGGAGTGCAACAAGTTTTTCCTTATAAATTATTAATAGTATTAATCTGTGCAAAAAATGGATGCATTTAATAAATGAAAGCACATAAAATGGTTTCCAATAAAAAGTTACTTTCTATCGCATGTGTTTATCATAATCTTGTTATAGAGTTTTCTTTGATAAGAAACTCTTGAGTAGTAGACGAAGGCCGTTTTGATTATTAAAACGACGTCTATTTAAAAGAGGAATCCCTACGTAGCTTAGAACAGGACTGGGTTGGACACCGATCTCCGTCGGGGTTTATTACCAAACATCGAAATAATCGTTCGTAAAGCAATTAATCGGATGATTCCGATTTAATTACTCGGAGCACTGACTCCGCCCCGTTCGGAATCGAAGAATCGTAAATCAACAATAATAAACCTGGAGCGCACTCCTTTTTTATTGACAAAACAAACCTTTATCCACACAATTACACGGTCGTTAGTGGCCGGTTAAATATTATTGATTCGTTTTTAAGGATCGACATTGATACTTGCGTTGCTTAAAAAAAAAACCGAGGCGAAAGAAGACGACGAATGAACCTACCGTTCGTTGAAAAAACGAACTTGTAATCTGTAATCGCATTATCTTAGTTTGTAATACGAGAGAGGCATTTTGTTATCCAAAGCCTGCAAGGTACAGACGACGGTCGGGGTAAAAAAAATAGCACAAATGTTTATCTCTAATAGATAAATTAAAAATCCCGAACAGGCCATTGTGTTTAAAAAAATCAGATTGTTTGCGGGCGAGAACAAATTGTTTGGTATAAATTTAAGGCATAAAATTGGCTCAACTTAATTGGACGTTCTTTAGTAAAATCTTATTTCTTTACACGAGTGATAACGACGATATTACAAACTTAATTAGTCTTATGCTGTTGGCATTATAACCTAAAGTCAACACCGGAAAAGATTCGAAATATGTAAAAAAATAAACACCATACAAAAACGTGTCTCAGTTGGGATCACGACAGAAAAATCGTAATATTCGGAAATGACACGAGTGGCGCCGCGGGCGGTCCCTTGTCAATTAATAAATATCCGAGCTCTTTAGATAGGAAGCAATGATGACACATTTAAGTATCTCATTTCTATAAGATACAAGTGGTACCTATAATAAAAAAAAATATCCCATAAGGGCGCACGCACAGGCGCGCGAGCTTTAGATATTCCTCGAAATCGATAATTCCATCAGCGAGCGCGGCATACGAAAATAAGCATCAAAGTGTTTTTTGGACGCGAGACGACAAATGTCGAGCAGGCAGGCACCAGTAGCAAACACGTGTTACATATTGTTGGACAATCTTTACTGTTGCTTTATTAGATCGCGACGCGGATAGGAGAAAATGGAAACATGCCTCCATTCGAAATTTCAAAGCAGATATAGCGCGCAATAGGCCCAGTGACGGACTAATTGGAGACAAATTCTATGTAACGCCAGGGAATAATTCTCTGTCTCCAATGCGCGCCCGTTCGTATGGATTATAAACGCGGCCAGACAAAAAGCGACGAGACAAATCTCGAATAATTCTCATTAAGTTCATTTAACAACTATTCACATGGCCGCGAGTGGATGCCAATAAAATTCAAATCCAATTGCGTCGACCCTTGATTTACAACGGAATCAATAAAAGTGAGGGCCATCATTGCCCCATTTTATTGCGCATTCAATAAAAGCAATGCAATCGGCATTCGGTGCGACAAAACACATTAATCAAATAAAGAGAAGTCTAAAAAGTCTACGGCGCCGTCTTGTGGTTTGCAGGGAACAAACTACTTTCACAATCAGCTGTTTTAAGCGAATTGTGTAGTCGGTCGTCGAAAAGAGTATCCGATTACAATTCGCTGCTAAAGCCACCTGACTGGCCTAACCCATTGAACTAACAAGCGCCGTTGTAAACAAACTAATTGTATACAAATAAATCAGCGTAGGGCATAGCGGATTAGCGCTCTTCCCCGGTTTATATGACGTCCATATATTATCAAGTGCGCACAAATACAATAGTCAGAGGCGCGGGGGAGCGTAGAGGGAGGGGTAAAGGCTAAAAAAAAGCGGGGCTTGAGAGATGGCTCGTAAAATGAAACAAGGGACCACGTCCGGAGATATGTCAAGATAGCATGCGGCGGGGGGGCGCGGAGGACGGCGCCGGCCGCGCACCCCAGACCCAATTAGACGCACACCTTTTGGACATGTGCTCTCACTTGGCGCTAACTAACTCCCAAAAACCGGGGGATGCGGGCCCGCTACATCCGTTACCGTTTATCACTTTTTTCACAGAAAATTCCAACGGCACGGCTCATTGGCCGATTGGCGGCCGATCGTCGCGTTGGCCCCATTTCTGGGTTTTTTTTTCTTTACCGACGACCCGAGCGCGACCCACGATGCTAATTTATTTCGATTTTTAATTGGTCCGAAGCGCGATTCCTTCGCGCTTCGACTCAGTATTTTAACGTAAGAAATATTTTAATGGAATCATCGGATATCGCAATACGAACACCAACATAACCTATGGACCTGTCTTCCGTATCACAAATAATTTGTCAGCCGTTAGTTTTGTTTCAAAGCTCTTGTCTAAAATGCAAATAACCTTGCTAAGCAGCTAAACTTAGGGGCCAGTCATTTCATATGAAATAATTTAAAAAAGAAATTAATTATGTTTCCGACGACTGTAAAAATATAACCTAGTAGATTATTAAAATCTATCAAGCCTGGAATAATTTTACATGCCCATTGTTATAGTATAACATAATTATATGAGATGAAACGCAGTTTCAAAGAAAATAAAAATACAAGTATGATAAATATCACATATACATATATATTTACTCATAGGGCAATTGCACACATTGTTCAGGACTCGGGACGTTCTAGTAAATTTTTTACCGTCACAAAATTAGTAATTGATAATGATTATAAATATAACAACTTACTGAAACACAGATTTCATCAGGCACGAACCGTGGTTATACTTTCGTAACGTAAAACTAAACACGATTTGTGCCGGATTAAATCTGCGTTTCATTAAATCGAAAATGGCAGTGGACAGATGTCCATTGTTTTTTTAGTAGTAGAGATATAAATGTTATTGTACTAACAACTATACGATTTCTACATAGTGGCGTTGGTAAACATCTCATAAATAAATAACACTACAGGACTTTGGTAGCGTAAGAGCAATTCACAGTACCTTAGTTTTCACTAGCTTCGCATTCTCCTTGCACATCTTCGCGAGCGAATGATATTCGCCCCTGGCTGCGCACAGGATCCACAGCTTCTGCTTCGAGTCTAACGGGTCCGTTTCGCCTTTGTGGTCCAACTGCAACACATGTCAATGTGCAGCAAAACTGAAGTGAGCACATAAATGGAGCGTAGGTTAACACTACTTACAGACACTCTGTCCTCCTCGTCGACACTCTGAAACAAAATAAACAACTACTTTATAATCCTCTAATCATTAATCAACTTCTTAAAATAAAGGAATGCTCGAATGATAAAGGAATACCATCACAATAGGTAGTACAGGGGTTGTTCTGCTTTCCCGAAAACGATATGTTAGTGCGGTGTTCGCCAGAAAAAATAAAAAGGCTACCGTAAAAACTTTTCGTATATGTCTAGCCATTGCAGTGAATACCGGATTATAAAGATTTATCATAAACTTAATTGATTTGAACGAATGCACATTTGTTGTTCGCTAACTAATTGGCAGATGACATTGGGGGAACAATTAAGCGAGTAAAGATAGTCAAGACAACCGACGATGATTTATCATCGTTTTTAAACATAGGCCGCATCATTGATAGCGAACGATTTATTAAATGAAATACATCAGCGCACCTAACGTATGAAAACAAAAGATTAGGACAATAAATAAAGACGATATTTACATACATAATAAATATCTTAAAGACACATATAAATTAATCGGAACCTAATATTTCAAAATTAATAAATGAGTACTTATATTGTGAAAATAATATTTTGAATTAATGGTCAATAAATTCGAATTCTCCCGTCTTCAGGCTTGCGCTGCGATTGGTGTGTAGGCGGTAAGGTCTTAAAGGTCTTTTAATCGGAAAAGCGAATCAGATCCTTGGGTCACTAGTAATATAGCTCATTTTGGGGTAAGGTGGGCACGCATTTGGCGGTTTCGTCGATGGAGGAACGGGCGTGCGCTGCGCAGCATGACCACTTTACCACCTGTCGTTACATATTTATGTCTACACTATTGGCCTCACTGTTAGGGACTTCGATATTGACAAGATAACATCCTTAATGTGATGTGTTTGATTTAATAATAAGATTAAGTTTGTACGTTGCCGGTTTTTTGGATCCGCGGGAACGACAATCGACCATTAATTGTCAATAAAGTGTTACTCGTTTATTAATGAATTTTTAAATTAAATCCGAATAGGTACGTAGCTCGATGGGAACCGGAGTCTGTTATGGCCCAAGGACATAAACGGTGAACGATGAACGAGTAAGAACTGTTTGTGACGCTTTTTGTGCGACGCATCACCGTTCCTATCGACCGCGCTGCACCGACGCACAACCGAATACACAGCGAGGAACGGGAAATTAAATGGTCAAGATTATGACTATTTAATTACTCGACATGCGAACGGGACGCTGACATTCGATTAAGGAAGAAAAACGACGAAGCCATTAAAATTGGAATCCAGCGAAACGGCCAACGCTTGCCTTAAACAGCTGCATGCGCCGAAAGAAACCGATTCTTTAAGTGCTTTTAAGGCAGGCGACCACAACGTGAACTTTAATTCTTTCGTACTTGACATGCGACCGAGCATGGTGGGGCATAATAAGTTACGACGCCAATACTTTCTTCGTACTCATAGAGAATAGAGTCACCTGCTTCTGAGCCTACGGTTTAAAATGAAAGCAGATACCATTTATAGAAAGGGCTTACTAATAAGAAGAAATAAACTACAACATGCAATGTACGAATAACAAAAAAAAGATAAAAAAAAATCTTAGTTTTCCACCAACAACAGTCTAAAAGCACAATGAAGATACATACAATAACATGTTGCAAAGCGGCAAACTTCGACAAACTTCATGGTTTTACCATATATAATAATAAATATAATATTTAAACCGTTATCAATTGCCTATAATATCTTTTTCACAAACACAGAGTACTGGCATGGGATAATTTTTTTAGTTATTTTTCTCTTGTTACGCTAATATATTTATTATTATTTATTATTATTATAAGGACACACAACATTTTTATTTGAATAATCCCCACTGCGAGATATCCGGAGGTGATTACGAGTAATGTAAACAAACTGCACTTAGATCAACTTATGCGGAAATTTAAACGTTCCAGGGTATGAATCGAATCCACGTCGCCAATTGAATTCAGTATGTAGCGTTAACTGCGTCTGTTCTATATTTCTACAATAATACTCGGTGAAATGTTCAAAACAATAAGTAAGCTTACGGGAAATTATCTTATAAGAAGGTAATAAGTTAAGCAGTGGATAGTCATTGACTAGTGTTGGTACATCATTTCAATGGTGGTTAATAACTTAACCCGAGTTGAATTGATGAAGATATAAGTGAAGGTTTATGAGGGTCGAACGAAGCAGTGCGATCTAATTTCTATCTTGCCCCCTGGGGAAGTGACCTGAACTATTAACATGCGGAAATAACTTGACGATTTCGTAAGCCTAGTAAAGTAGGACACCGAGCCACTGCCAGGAGACCATTTAAAATACCGCCTATCTATAACGGTAAATAAATGGAACCGAGAAAAAAATGTGTTCATAAAATTCGTACATTGTTAATATAAACGACCGTAAAACAGATAACGTTCACCGGGCCACTGTTATTTTACCCAAAGAAACGGGGAAAAAAGAGAAGTAAAAAGTAAATACAATTGACTGTGTCACTGGTTCGGCTAATTTATGTGAGACGAGAGTGACTTCCACGGAACGTATCAGGCATTGAGTGGAGGCTGGGGGAGGGGGGACTCGGGCGGTGAGACGTCGCCGTAGGGCTCCACCGAGCGCCCCAGGACGCCGGCGAGCCCGTCAGGTTCGCACTGGGCGCCGATGCCAACGGAACGTCGCATACCCATTACACTGTATATAAGCTTTCTAAGACGCGACCGGTCACTATGCGTGCTTAGAACACTCAAAACGACTCTTATACATTTACGCTCTCTAATTACCGAGTAGTTTCTATGCGTGCTCGTTTAACGTGGAACAGTAAAAACAGATGTGACATGTGTCTCGTTTGTACACATGTATTGGTTAGATCCTGGTTCAGCACCAAAGTGATAGTCACTGTTTGGTGGTCTAGTGCCGATGTGACGTATCACAGTCTTCTACAAAACGGCACGAGCATTACTGCTGATGTGTTGTGTGAAGAACTTTCATCACATGATGGAAAAGCTCGTACATCTGCAACTAGCTTTGGTTAATCGGTCGTCCCCGCTGAACTCCATAGTTTGAACAACTAATTTCTACTTATGTAAGTAGTACACAACACAGTAGCATAGTTTAGTATCATGAATTTATCAACACACAAATTTCACATACAAAAATAAGGGAGTACAGAGTCTGATGGTATTGGTACTAGTGATATAAAGTTCAATTAAAAATTCTCGATGAAACTTGATACTTGATTCGGATTGATATTTATGTACATGCGGCGTAGGTACATACTGTTATACATACTCAATTGTATGCATAATCACACATCGGATTGGAGGACCTACCATGCCCAAGTATCAACGAAATTTTATTTTATATATAACCTTCGGGAAGAAACAAAAGATGTTTAATTAAATTTATTTTATTAAAGGAATTCCTTAAGAAGGTCACACGTTTATCTTTGGCGTGATCTATACACCTAAATAAATTCATAGTCTGTCCATCATGGATAAACTACTGGATAGATTTCAATGAAATCTTTTATGTTTTATTACTTACACATTTGGCCATTATGTAATAAAAACAATGTATCTTCATAATGTATTAAATTTTATGTTATTAAAATTTAAAAAAATGATTTCATAAGCAGGTCGTATTCAATGATGTGCGTTATCTTGTGAAAGAAAACGCACATCAAGTCGTCGTAGACAAAATACATAAATGATAATATAATAAACAACGCGGTCGCTGAGGTCGTGGGTATCAGCTAGTTAAAAATAATGATCACCGAATGACTGAATGACCAAGACCTCAAAATCCGACCGATTTTACAATGAAATCTAACAGAACAGTTGTCAAATGCCATTAGAGCCTCAATCTTTATTCGAACAGTTCGGGTATGCAAACAGAAACGCAAAAACCCGACACGCACGCACACAAACACACGTACAAACCCGCCACAGAGGTGTTCCTTATCAAGAGCAGAGACTCGGCGCGATTTGTACTTATTAATTTCGCCGTCCGCCATTGTCCGGCCGAGAGGCGGCGATGCGAGCACCGATAGCCGCGCAATTGTTTCGCCTCCGCTGCCATCCGAGCTGGCCATCCATCCGCTCCCATTCCGCCATCGCATCGACAAGGCTCGTTAATTGCGGCGGGCCGATGGCGAGAGCGCTCCGCGGGCCCGAATGGAGACCGAAGACAATGAGATCGCTCATATTTCCCCGCCAACCCGCAGCGGACCGTGATCACTTATCTCCCGCATCGTGCATAATAACGCCGATACTGCTCGGCGCGGCTTGTCCCGCTGTTATGCTGGGCGACGGTGACGCTCGAACAAACGACGCTTACTTCCAGACGGCCGCGCAAAGGATCCGCGAACCGATGGACGTTGAGTTCAAGTTGGCGGTAGATGGAGAATTGCTTTCTCTACGCGGGCGTCTTTGGCATTTGTTCTATACCGGAAGAGACGCGATGGCTGTCGCCCAGGCTTCAGTACAATTCCGAATTGCATGAACATAAACTTTAGAATAAAAATAATGTATTCCTAATTTTTATTACAGTCATAAAATATGATGTTCAAGACCTTAATGATGAAGCTAGAAATCGCACTTGATATACGTATAAGTTAATGGTTGAATGAAACAATGGCTTAATGACTTCGACCCAGGCAACCGCACAGCTACTATAAAGTAATGTGCGTCTCATTGACAATAAAACAAAGATACTGTATAGCCAACACGGCAAAAATATAAAGATACCGGGCACGAAAACCAATAAAGGTTACTGCACAAATGTTTGCCAAGTTATAAAATCATATCCAAGAACCGTGACGTACGTGAACAAACACCAATACCTAAAAAAAACGTCAGCAAACTTTCTTTGTTACCCATAATATTTCCTTCGTACAACTTTATGGGTATTTATTTTAGAGGATAGATAAAATTTCAGACAGAAAATCAGTTTAGGTCAAATCATATCGTCAGGGCTAACGGCACGGAAATTCCAATAAGAGTA